TCAACGACGTAATAGGTTTTTCAAGTTGGTTAAGGTAAGTGGAATAACACTATACAAATGAATACATGTTGAAGCAAATATGTTCGCCATTTCAGCAATTTGAAAACAACGTGTAAGGCTATTATACATTTTTATGGAAAATGTAATTATAACAGTTAATGCATGTTAGCAGCGACACTCAACATACAAGCTTCGTCTTTTGTAATATATTTTAGTTTGAACTGTTTTGACTTAAGTGTTTTGATAATCATCTTGAATCGCGGTGTGGGATTCTCTAACATGTAGGTGTTTTCTGCTTTCTTTTAGAGCTGCTGGTGATGTATGTCATTCAATTATTTTCTGAGAAGCTAATAGACTGCTTACAATTTTCATGTCACCGTGGATTTAACATGCGCATACTGCTCAAAGCTGAAGTCAAAGAAAGTCCCAGGAAAGTTAGTAATAAGTGTGAGTTACAGAGTATGGTTTCAGTTGTTTAGCAATAGTGTACCTGGCTGTTTATGGTTTGTAATATCTGTTTTTCAAGTCTACCAGTGTGTTTACAACACTTTAGACGATGTCTAGCTATGCAAATACATGGTAACTTAACTCCGAGAATATATAAACATGTGCATAATCCCCTATAAAACCCATATCCAGCCAAAGTGCCTACGAAATAACACTTGAACTATTTCTGTGACAGGTTTCGCCTTGATGTTTAAACTAGGATGACGTGGAATGATGAGCTCCCCTGCGGGTGGTGAAGGTTAGTGATGCTTACCATGACCTTTAACATAGAATGTCGTAAACACATGTGAATTACTAACAGATTATCCAGGCTTAATTATGTCTGCCATCAGCAAGTGAACATCTTCGAGTGTGAATGCATCATATAATGGAATGCCATGTATAACCAAACAGGTAAATACGTCAAATACACTTCCAGTAGAATACACAATGGGCCTACGGGACCAAGTACCCCCCAAGGGCTCAGTTTAAATGCTAGGCATCGAAATAACAGCTGGAGTGGAAGGGTTGATGGAATTGACCCTTAAGTTCATATATCGCAGACTGCAACATAAAGCATTGAAACACAACGGAATTAGAATTCTAGCCGAAGCGAAGTTAAACACGATAGACGATCATATTTCCACCGCGCTCACCGACTCTTAAATCTCCAAAGAAGAGTTTTGTTTGGTGCTATCAGAAATCATAAAATATCACAGAATGCAACAAGAGATTCGGACCAAGTCCCCTAAAAACGCCGTCATTTGCAAAGACGAGAAAAAAATTCACAGAACAAGGGAAGCAACAGGCCCGACAATCCTTCATTACGAAAACCAAACAAAACATATGAGATTCACAATTAACTGTTTCGCGGACTTCAACATAACGTAGCCAGCCGGCCAGCCAACTCAGTAAGCTGTAGGTGAATAGCCAAGCCGAGACACACACACTGCGACTCGCCCACAACACTTGCTCAATGCTACGGACACCGCGGCTACGGAAATGCCGAGAGCTGCGGTATGATTTTGCAGAAATCAACTTAACGTAGCCAGCCCGCCAGCTGGTCGACAGTACATGCCGAGTCGACGTACGCACGCACACACACACACTGCGACTCGCCCACAGCGCTCGCTCAGTACTACCAAGATGACAGCGAGGCGACACGAGTGGACTGCCGAGAACTTCTGTATGATTTAGTGGAAATCAACATAACGTAGCCCAGCCAGCCAGCCAGGCGGTCGGCTGTACAAGCCGAGTCGAGACACACACTGCGACTAGCTCACAGCGCTTGCTCAATGCTACCGAGATGGCAGCCAGACGACGACCCAGGGAAACTGAGAGATGCGTTTCATTCACTTTCAGACATCTGTAGCCTCGCTAGTCAGCCGGCCGTGCATCATCATAGCCGAGCCGAAACACACGCGCACACACTTATACTCGTACACGGCGCTCGCTCAAAGCATCCCCCGAGCGAGGTGATGACTGCCGAGACCTGCATTTCATTCGGCTAAAAACACCTTTCGCCTCGATAATATATAACAAGTACGACAATTCGTTGGAGTGTTAGCCTTTCCCCAGACCGACCCCATGCTCGCTAAAACCTATTTGACCGATTTTCGTAACATTTTGCATGCATCGCGACAAATGGTTACGCTATAGCACAACGGCATTGGGATCACTCTCGATGACTTCTTTAGATTAATTAAGACTTAATTACGACAAAAAAGTTAGACATTTTGCATTTTCCCGACCGACCCCATGCTGACTTAAAAGTTATTATTTCAGAAACAATTCAACCGATTTTCATCAAATTTTGCATGCGCCTCAGTAGTAGTATACACAATGGTGGTACTTCCCTTGGGTACCTTGGGGGGGGTACCTGGTCTCGTAGCCCCATTGTGTATACTACTCTTCGGAAAGAAAAGGAAAACGAAAGAAGCACTACGTCTTGAAACAGTAGCGTCCAATTCTGCAGTTTTCAAAGTACACCGGAACACCATATGTCGTTCACGGGTCGATATGTCTACCTCATTTCAACCCAATTCAACAGAATTCCTTCAGAATGGAAAATTCCACAGAAAGTAGTGAGATATACATTGCACGTGGATATCGATGGATACATTCCTGGAACAATTTTCTATACGTCTTGTCGGTTGCAATTTGTGATATTTGCACAGATTCCACTTCAACCACGTTATATTTGGACATTTGCGTGGCAGACAGCACCAAGCCGTTTTTCTTGCCTATCTTTTCGTTTTAGGTGTAGGTGTAAAATATCATTCATTTAGGTAATGATGCCTAGATATTTTTCTTTTTACAAATTTACTAAAAAAAACTAGAAAAAACACTAAATTGTTTCATGAAGTTCCAAAGTGCATAAACATCATTTGTGATATAAGGACGTACATTGATTTCCGTGGTTTTTGCAGTCTGAACACTTTTAGTCGCTGAGAGATGTTTGGAAGTGTTACCGTAATAAAATAGATGGACATATTTTGCAATCATTTTGTAAAACAACTAAACATTTAGGGGACAAAAAAATGACTACACTTCCCGATTAACTCCAAGACGAAACTATATTTAGTAATGTGAAACAAATGTTCCAGGCCAACTTTCGGTCTGTCTTAAGTCTATGAGAGTTTTGCCATCTCCGATGTAGAGAAGGGATGACGCTTCCAGTGTGACGTCATAGCATCCCTCGGATTTGACGCGATTATAATTCCAGCCTATCCGCGTAGGGCCAACATTACGCGATCGTTTTGGACCAATCAGCGTATAGTAAAGTTTTAAATCGAGTCATCCGATTGGACGTACAAGCTGACGTTAGTTAAGTTTTAAATCAAGTCATGCAAGAGGGCACATGGCGCGATCGATTTCTTTGTAACTTCATCAGATCAAAATCATATGATACCAACTGAACCAATCGACGAATATTAAATATCAAACTCAATGATTTGATCAGTGATAATCAACGGGGTATATAAAGCGGAGTTAAACCTGTGTGACTAATTATAACTCTACTATTTCAATTTGAAATTCAAATGTAATCGTGCTAACAAAATCATAGAACTTCATACTTTGAGAGTCCATGAATATGAAAAACACGTTGTAAATTCCGATATACTAGGCACTTAAAGAAACTGTGCATACACAAATTTAAATTCTAAATTTATCAAACCCGTGTATACACATAAGGATTTAAACTTAGAGATTAGTATCCAACTTGCATGCACGTGCCACGTTCCATGACGTCAGTTGGTTCGTTATGATAAGAGGGGATACATCAAATGTTTGCTGAATACATGCATAGACAAAACAGATAGAATTTCGGTGTACTTTGGACATATACTGAAGCACAAAAGAAATGTCGCACCGATAGCGTTTTTTTAAAGCACATACTTCAATTAGCTCTCATTAAAAATCAAAACCGAGGATTGAGTTCAAACTTGGCAATTATGATTAACACCTTTTTTCGGGAATCACTTTTAGAGTTCACACAAACAAAATCACCAAAAATGGTACCATTAAGGTTCACCAAAGTCAGTATCGTCTGTGGCCACCATGAGCATTGATGAAAGCATTGCTTCGTCTGTACATGGAATGAATTAGCCGGTTGACGAAGGTTCTAGGCCCTTTGGTCCATACTCTACGAAATGCCTGATCGAGTCCAGCCACAGTTGTTGACCTTGGTTGGAGGTCATTCAGTCTTCTTTGAATTTCGCCCCAAAGGTGTTCTATTGGACTTAAATCCGGACTGAGTGCAGGCTTTTGTAGGGTTTGGATGCCATGTTCTCTTAGGACGTCCAGTGTTGCTCTGGCAATGTGGGCACAAAAGTTGTCTTGCTGGAAGATGTGATTTCTGTAACGTCCAAAATGTGGTGCAACGTGGGGTCTTATGACTTGGTCAATATAGAGAGCAGCTGTCATGTCATTTCCTCATCCTGGACCAAGATTCTGGAACACCACGGTGTCAACTAACTGATTCAGACCGATTACACCCCACACTTTGATGCTTGGACCACCCCACGAGTCTCTTTCAACAATACACTCATTGGGAAACAGTTCCCCACGCCTTCCCAATACCCTCACTCTGCCATCGACTGTAGAAAAACATTGTCGACAAAGCCAATTTCCATCCAGAGTTGCCCGTTGCAGTAGGTTTTGGTGGTGATGAGCGGTGAGGACAGGACTAGGATAGGGTCTGTGACAACAAAGGTTTCTTCCGCGCAAACGTCAACGCACTGTATCAGCACTGATGGGTCTGTTGTGGGTCCCCATAGATCTGGCGTGCTGTTTCCGTCGCTCTGGGGAAGCGATCCTGTAGATGGTGGCGCAAAATCTGTCGGTCTTGATGTTCTGATGTTACTGAAAGTTGCCCACAGTGTGGACAGTCTTGGATGCTGTTAGTGACCCGATACCACACCTGCAGTCGGTAGATTGTCCTAACATGAACATTAAAATGATTGGTTACCCTCCGTGCAGTCTGGACAACTTGCAATCGTCCCAAGACTTGGTTCCTCTGATCTCTCGTAAGTCGTGGTATGGCGATTCTGTCAAAACAAAAATGATTTCAGCCGAGTTTGGGACTCGCTTTCATTGGTAGGGTTGTCACGACATGCACGTGCATTTTCATTTTCACGAATGTCATACGGAACCATTCACCATGTCTGCCTTTTTCGGTGCAATCTGTCGATATGCTATTTCATCAGAAAGCACACTGGTGTTGGTAATAACTGTCAATTTGGATTGAAAAAACATCTTAACAAAACGGTGCAATCATGATAAAAACACCATCTTGTAAGAAGAAAATTTTGCATTTAGTTTTGAAAGACAACGTTTCCTTTGTGGTTCAGTATATATTGAAACAAATATGTCGTTTGAATATATGAAGTTTTACAGAAACTTATTGAAATGGTTTATTCTATGACATTTGCAAGAATGATCTTTAATAGCCTGAAGGCACGAAAGAGAGTCTGAAAAGATGATATATTGTGTACTTTTAGGGTTATTTGTGATTTAATGCTGTAAATATAGCGTTGGATTCTGCTGTGAAAATTGAGCTGTGATCTGGTAAACGAGAAGATATTGTTCTCGATCCAATAACAGCGTCACAAGCAACTGCGCCACCATCCTTGAACCCATCTGTAAATAAGGATTTGTATATATTATATTTACTATTTAATTGATTAAATGCTTGTTTATATTATAATTCATTAGTTTCTTTTTTTTTAAATGTGGTTAATGTTAGGTGGACGTCTGGCCGAATTAATTGCCGAAGAGCAGAAGGAAGAAAACAGGAAGGAAACGGCTTCGACTTCGGCGACGTTGGATGTGCATAATCGGGAAAAGAGATAATTACTCCCCGAAAAGGCCAGTGCATTGACTCAAGCCCAACTGAGCATGATCGCAACCCTGGCCATTTTTATATATCATATCACGACTCCTTACTTTAATATGTTTTCAGGAATGATGCCTTGCTTGACGAGCATCGCTTTGGTGGCCATCGCCAGTCCCACGTCTAGCACGAGCATGCCCATGTCTTGCGGGTTGAAATCGAGTTTGGGTGCCGGTTGTTTTGTGATCATTTTGCTTAATCGAGCATAGCCTATGGCCAGTCGGCTGACCACGGCGGCGTGATACGCGTCGTTGATGAACGTTTTTCGCTGGGATTAGACATGATTATAACATAATGTGTGGGTTTACCTCTAATTGTGGGTTCGCTGGTGGTGGTGGGGGCGGTGGCGTCATCTTTTGTTGATGGAGCCATACATCCGTGGTGACACACACGACAGCAGCTACCATGGTGTACGGAATCCACAGCGGGGTCGGTTTACGATGCTTAGCTAACCCTCCTTTTTTACCGGCTGCTACTTTTTTCGGATTGTTGGGTTTCTTTGTGACGGTATCAATTACTTGGTGGGGGATTGTCTCCTCTTTCGCCACTGGTGTTGCTTCGGTGTTCGGCTCCATTATCTTCAATATCATTGATCGGGCATTTATGTTTAAATTGGCAGTGCTTCGTCGTAATGATCGCCGCAGTGATGGGACGCATCGACACGGGAGGACGCCTCTTCACCTTCCTTCTCCTCTTCGGATATCATTTGTTCAAGCATGTGGTCCAACTCCATATTATAATACATCAATCGGGTTTTAAATCTTATGTAATGAAATAGCCTAACAGAACGAGATGAATGTCAGGTAAAACAACACGACAATTTCAAACATCGTCGTACATAGGGGCGTACATTTAATTTGCTAAGCTATTTGCTACATGTTGCTAAGCATTGCTAAGCAGGTTGGGACGGCCTCCGTGGTGTAGTGGTTAGAGCGTCCACCCGGAGAGCGGAAGGTCGCAGGTTCGATCCCCGACTGCGTCATGCCAAAAGACGTTAAAATATGGTACTTGTCGGTCCCTGCCTAGCGCTTGGCATTAATGGGTACAACAAGGACTGGTCGGCTCGGCATAATGTGTCTGAGTGGGGTATTCATACTTCACTGCGGCATGGTATCTCAGTGGGCAAGCACTATAAAACCAGCTTCAGTCTGGGTTAGTACAAGCAGCCGCATGGATGCACGTCGTCATATGAGCGAAATATTCTCAAGCACGATGTAAAACCCAATTTCACGTCACCTCACGTAAGCAGGTTGCTGACTTTGCTACGTGTTGCCAAGCAGGTTGCTCATTTTGCTAAGCAGGTTGCTTGATTTTGCTAAGCTAGCTCTCTGCATAAGCCACGGGTTGGTCTGTTTTCTGCACGAGTTTGGCGTGTTTCGTTTGGGTTAACAAGGTTCTCATGCATTCTCGTTTGGGTTTGGTGGGAATGACGTCGTTTTCTCTCAAACATTCCTCGAATGAATCCCTATCCTTGCAGTGAAACAGTGCGACCCATCGCGTCTGTCCCCTCAGGTCTTTCAGGACCGAGTTGAATTTTTGCATGAAAACCCAAACGCTGTGGTTCATGTGGAGGCCCGAAAACGTTAAATACGATAACATGTCTCTCTTTTTGGTGCTGCAATCGTCTAGGATAAACAGCATCGATTCTCCCTCAAACTTTTCGTGACCAGTCCTGTAAATGTACTCACGGGTCAATTTTATACACCTCTGCATCGTTCATCACCCACGCTCTCTCCGCGTACGTTTTATTGACGCATATCATAGGGCAAAGGATCACGAAATGATCGAACACATTCTGATAGTACCCTTCTAGCAGATCCAAGACAAACACGGTCTACCTGCATCCCATCTGACCTCACACGATGGTGCAATGCGGATCGCAAGGCAAATCAATAGATGGCTTGCACGAATCTTCCATTTTGTATGTTAAGCTGCGCATCCATGATCACGTACAAATAAGGGTTTAATATACCGTCTTGGTAAAGCTTTTGAGCCTTCTGGCGATTTGGATGGTGATCCCCTCGCTGCCGTTCTCAATACGATGACCGCTGCTGTGCAGTTGATCATCGTACGTGGATCGCATGTCCAACCACATTGCGTACTTGGTGGTCAGGTAATCTCCTACCGCCACGTAGGCGAGACCGAGGTCCCTGATGATCGCGTTGATTTCCGGCGGGCGCTTGATCATTGGATTGTCCCACTGATGGTAAGTGCGCATGCTTTGGCTGAATAGCTGGTTGGGCATGCCCTTGACGGTCACCTCGACTTTCATGATCTCGGGGTTCCAATACTGGGTTGACCCTTTGAAACGGCTGAAATTCTTCCACCGGCAGGATCAAAATGACCTTTATCGATCGCGCAGGCACGTTCAGATTGATGTTCCACAGCGTGTTGCTCTTGTTCGCCGTGATCTTCCAGTGATGCAGAACGCGCTCATACAGGATAGCTTATGTGTCCGAATATTCGTCACCTTGTCAAACTCCAGTGAAATATTGTCGATGGTGTAGCGACCCTTATCACGGTTCTCCGTCCAATCATCATGCTGTAATCGTTAAACTTGAGTTCATATTCGAGCCTGTCGCATATTCCAGCGCGGCTTGGTAGAAGGGCATATGACATTCCAGCAACTCGATGTCAAGGGGGACGCAAAATCGGTTCCCGAACGCCTCGGCAATGGCCTTGTGTTTTCTAACTATCGCGGCGAGTTAGGCATGTTCAAAAGCATACCCCACGCGCAACCGAGTTGACGAGCACTTGGCTGAACAAATCCCCTGGTACTTCATGTTTTTCCCCTTCGCTCGCGATTCTCCAGTGATCCGTGTAGCTGAAGAACACGTGGCTGTCATCGATGCACAAAATTTGTTTCCGCTGATCTTGATGGTCGTTTTCTTCACAATGGCTCGACCCAGGCTGCCCACGACTTCGCGCGTATATCATCGGATTCCAAACTGATCTGGAAGGACAGGCAAGCAGTCCCCAGAATGATGACGTTGTCCACAACCAGGTTGGGAAAGCGCACCAACAGCGTTTGGTTTTCGCCTATGGTGCTCGGATTGTTAGTGATCGTCACCAACTGATGCACGGCTTTGACCCCAAGGGGTTCTCTCATTCTTCAGAAAGGGTTAGTTTCTGCCCGTATTGCGACGACATCATTTATTTTGAATGAATCTTTTCATATCTTCAATAGAAATATGGCTGAAGGTGGCGACGATATTCCCATGCACGATTTGCGTGGTGATGGAGCCCAATTGCTCGACAATGAGGAGACCTCGTTCACACAAGGAAACATGGGCGATGATCTGCTAAAAAAAAGAACGTCGAAGATTATTACGTTGCCCTGGAGCAAAAAAATATAGCTCCTCTTTATCGTGATCCTTATGAGAGACGTACCCCAACACGCTCAAGACGCATTGAACGACGTCGAAAAACTATTGACCATGCAAACCAGTCGTGGATTGCTCGTGGACAACGTAGCCAAACGACTCGCTTGATGAGCATATCGCTCATAAAAAAAACCTCAACGAAGCAAAGACGCATGTGAGAAACAATCGACCAAGTGTTTCTGAGTCAACACCAGCTGTTGCTTATATATATGATACATGTACACAATATGTCACGATTTTTAGTTCTTGTACACACAAAAAAAACCATTTAATTTGTGTTTCAGTTTTCAATATGAAGTTGTGTTCACTCTTCACACTAGTCTGCCTTGTGGTGTCTTCAACTGTGATATTGTTGAAATGTTGCTAAAAGCGACGTGAAACAATACTCACCTACTCACTCACGTGTGCCTCGTTATCACGAATGTGCGGTTACCTTGAAATGACAGATGTTAAGGTAACAGAATCGGGCCTCGTAGCGCTACGACTGTCGTAAATCTATGTTACAGCATAGGAGTTACGATCACCTTAGAGCTACGATAGCTTTGTGAAACGGAGCCCTGCACCTTTTGTTGCCAATGGTATAATGAGACCAATGGTCTTATGAGACCATTGGCAAGACGACCTGACATAAAGCCAAAGTTGAAGATGCAACTGTTTCAGTTACACTTTTTTTCTATTACAGGTGTGTGTTCCAGATGTACTCAAGTACGGACAAGATTCATAGAGAAGGAGAACCGTGAACCAGTCAACAAACTTTTACCAGTTCATACCGAATATAAGATTCTAACGGAGGGTGGCAAGAGAAGACAAGGAGAAGAATCAAAGAGAACAGGAAAGAAGAGATTTGCGGATCAAGTCGCCAAAGCAACGTCAGCATTACGTAACAGTGGTGGAGGGGTGTTGTTAGTCCACGTACAAGAGGGAGACCGGTGTCTGGAGTACTTTGACGAGGCCGTCAGAAATGAGTTGACAGGGTTACTTGAAAACGGCGAACTCTATACTGACGTCTATGAACGTAAATGTTTGTGTCAGATTGAAACATTTGAAGATATTACTGACTTTGTTCAGATAACAGTTGGGAAAGTTGAGAGTGTATGTACTGTTGATTTCAACACAAAAGCAACTAATGACAGTGAGAATCTTAGCATCAACTCATCAAACATACAGGTGTTGCTGAGAAAAACAGAAACTCAAGCAGGTAGCGTCCCGACTGCAGAACTACCAGATAACGTCCAGGACCTTCACGAGAATCGACATATACAACTGAAAAAATTCAAGACCCCAAAGGAAGACAAAAGCATTAAGGAAGATGCTACACAGTTGACTGAATGCATATGGAACAAATTGAAGCTCAAGGACAACATTACATCTATGTCCAAGGTTGTTGGTGGGGGGTCATACTTCTTGGGTGTTAGCGAATTGAACCTAACAACAAAAGAAGGATATACAACTAAGAAACCGGAATACACTGGTTTTAAGCTGGATATATCACAAGAATCTCTGAGAGAACACATTTACGAGAAGCTGGAAACTGACATCTGTGTCTTGGATCTTGACGGACATTTTACAGAAGGACCAAGGGACTTGATTGATATTAGATTCCACACCGTCCCCAGGCTGGATGCTGGCTTAGTTGTTTTGGAAGTTGCCATTCGTTATTGTCGGGGAGTTGTGTTCTACGACAAAGAAGGGCCCAGAACATATTATGTCACAGATAGCGGTGCAACAAACACGGCAAATGTTTGTCGAATGAATCGTTCTGAATGGCTTCGAAGATTACAGATCATGCACTCTCATTTTCATACTTAAACTGTTGGGAAGTAACTGTTCAATCTATGACAGTCTAAACTAATAACTCAAGTAGAATAGCATTTGACATTTGTGTATAGTTATATAAGCAACCATGTCCGACAGTGACGCTGGAACATCAACTGGCTCTACACCTTATGAGTCGGAGGATGACATGATATGCTACATCACCGGATCCACACAGTCACCATCCGAGCATCCTGACCAGGAACCAGGTAACTGGCAATATGTGTTAACACTCGTATTTCATGTGAGTTTGTATTGAGGATTTAGTTACTACTCCAAAACCGATAATTATCTGCTTCATCTTAAAGTTCTTGTGAACGAATTTTATAAGTATCACCATTGTTCAAGTCATAAAAACCTAACTATAGACACACGATTATAAGCAATTTTAATCTGTTTTTTTTTTCGGCCAGAATAGTTTGAAACTTGAAGTTTAGTTTAAGAAGGTTAACACTGTTTATATTGATCTGGATCGACTGTTTGCCCAACCAGAAAAATATTCCACAAAATCAACTAAATAACCACAATGTAAAAAAAGAATGGCTAGTCTTACAAACAGATTTCACTTGGCAGAAAGAGCAAACTAACCGTGAAAAGTATATATATTGTAACAAAAAGTCATGTCTAATCTAGGTCTGGGGCGGTGGGGTAGCCTAGTGGTTAAAGCGTTGGCTCGTCACGCCGAAGACCCGGGTTCGAATCCTGGAGTGCTCTGTTCTGTTGTTTTTATCAGTTCATTGTAGGCGGATGGAATTAGGTATCCTTGGTCTCTGTTGATTGAGGGCTTGTGTCGGCGGATTTGAACTGCTTCTGCCAGTTTTCTTTTGGTGAAGTCCTGGAGGTTTTTTGATAATATTTCCACATTGTCCCATTCAATGTTGTGATTATGACAGTTGATTATGTGTTCAGACATAGCTGATTTACGGTCTGATGTCTTGGTTGATGCTAGGTGAAAATTTAATTCTGAGTTTTATGGGGCTTGAGGTTTCACCAACATAGGCCTAACCACAGTCACAGCTGATCTTGTAAACAACTTCTTTGGGTGTTTGTTGTTTGGAGGTGTTCCTGCAATTGGCTTGGAGTAGAGTTTTCATTCGATGCCGGCTTGTTATCAATCAACTTCTAAAATGCCAATCAAACAGATCGAGTTGAAACTTCTTTTCAAGAGTCAGATCTCTTCTTTGTCTCTTTAGTGGTGGAGTTTCCATTTTGCATCGGTAATGGTCTACAGTGTGGCAAGCTTTTTATTGCTGACACCACTGACTTATTGGTAATAGATTTCACAAAATTAATTGATCCCTTTTCTCAGCCCATTCAAGAAAATTAAGTCGGAATTTTTAATGTACAGATGTCGGATAATTCAATGTTTAAATGATGCTTACATAGAAGAATGCTGCTGGGACCCAAAAATATGTCGGAATTCACAGATTGTCAGATTATTGAGATGTCGGATTATACAGAGTCCACTGCATTTGGTTGCTTTCAAAAGCAATCAAATCAATCGAATCAAATCGTGGATATGATAAATTCTGGCGTTGTTACATATTATTCTTGGATTGGGATTGGGATCAATTTCCTATTTGAATGCTTATAATGATGCATACTACTATATGAATAACAACTCATATGTTGATGTTATCATCTACATCGACACGTCGCTCTATGTAATACTCAAGAAGTTATCCATAAAGTCGTATTCTTCATTTTCCAACTTGTGGAATGTTACATTCATAAAACAGACAATTTGTCAAGCATATGCAGTACACACTTTACATAATGTTCACTTGTACATTACAGATGCCAGGCGACTCAATGAAAGAAGTTTGCCTTCCCGACAGGTAGATATCGTCCTTATTGGTATACCTAACATACCCGTGAAGATTCGGGTTATAATGGGTCTTAAGCAACAAAGGCTTGTCGTGAGGGGCGGGATCGGGTGGTCAGATTCTCTGACTTGGTTGATGCGCGTATATCGATGCTCATGATGTCAGTCACCGGATTGCATGGTCCGAATTCGATTATTTACAGACCGCCGCCATATGTATAGACAAGCATACCATATGCCCATATCATGCAAGCAGTAGCTTTAGTGCAACTAGCATCGTATTCATAGCATGTTGTGGGACATTCCATGTTTCGGGAAGTGAACTAGTGAAGGTCCGGGCTAGAATTGGTCCTCAACAACCCATACTTATCGAGTCGACTAACGGGATCGGGTGGTCACACTCAATGACTTAATTGACACATGTCATTGAATCCCAGTTGTGTAGCTCGGTGCTCATGTTGTTGATCGCTGGATTGTCTGGTCCAGACTCCATTATTTACAGACCGCCGCGAAATAGCTGGAATATTTCTGTTAAACATCCAACCAACCAAATCCATGAAACAACTTGCTCTTCGTATCTATTTCAAGATGCAGACAGAAACGCCATTGGCTGGGGCATCAGTAGCTGCTGCTGACGGTGTCCTGGGTCCTGACACAAACAACCATTTGAACAAGACAAGCGTTTCTAACAGCGATGTGCCGTCAGCTGTACCTGCTGATGGCAGTGCGGAAAGTCCATACATGAGAACTCCTGACAGAACAGTTATCAACCGGCTATCTGTGCCTTCTGACGATGATGCCTTAGGTATTGACCCCAGCATTCGGCGACGTCTGACAAAAAATGTTTTGGGCAAAAAGGCAAAGTACCTGGTGTCTGAAGCTCCAGCCGACAGTGGCCAAATTGGTGACACAAGCAATATTCTGCTCTTGACAAGTATTTTGGACAGCACAGTAACGGACCAGACATCCATAGCTTCTGCTACCAAGAACAGTAATTTGGGCAGAACTGAATCTGTAGCTTCTACGGACAGTGGCATAGGTAGTATGCTAAAACTTGGGGCAGAGAAACTTAGACAAGGCATCTATAGTTTCTGGCAACAGTGGCGTGGGTAGTGACACAATCAAACTGCATATCTTGAAGGTGACACAATTGTGCTCTCTGTGAGCTACCTGTTATCCATTTCCTGTTGATGTTAACGTGCTGCTTATTTCCACTTCTCGTGTATTTGTTCCTGTTACTCCAACTTGATAAATGAAACACTGCTGTATGGCTACGGGGTGGGATAAGTCTTGTTATCATATCTGGCTGAACTAAATACTGATTTGAGGAATTCTATATCAAAACCAGACGCCGCTATCAATCAAAAATGTGGAAATTGAAAATGAAAACGTTAAAAATTGAAACTGTTACCTGAGTGAGTGAGTAAATATTGCTTAATACCCCATCAGCAATGTTGCAGCTATTTGCGGCCACTACAGGTACCTAGGCACTATCATTAACTATATACCAACTTGGAAAGAAAATACTGAATATGAGTGCAAAAACTGCCAACAAAGGTTGTATATTTTGCGATGTGTATGTCAATTCGAAGTTGAGTAAACTGTTCCAGGCTTGAGCTTTTTCAGAAAGCATTTATCCGAAGCATATTAATTATTTTTGCTATATTTTCTCTGTTGCTTCGGCGACCTCTCTGTAAAAAAGACCTACACTGAATACAACTATAAGCACATGCCGTGAAATTATTATCCCTCCAGCTTTAACAACTGCCATCGGCTTACTTTACAAGCAGCAAGTGGTTAAGGAGGTATAGAACAGTTTAAACGACAGTTCCCATTTTGTGTCCAGCAACTTGATATAACCTTCAGGACACCGCTTGTCAGTGTCGATTATTAACAACAAACAGGTCTTACCATTCATTTATCCCTTGTATATAGTATCAGAGCTTTCAACAATTATCAATGTATTTTGGTAAATTGTTCTCGGTTATCCCATTAAATTGTGTTCTTTTTTTTCTTGACAACCCCAGCTTTACCTTTCTAGTGTTGTACAAGATCTTACCATTTTTTGTCCAAGTCAGTATACGAGCTTTCAATATCAATTTGCTATTAACTTCTTGAATAGTTATGCCTTTTACTATAACTGTTATGTATATCTTAGACGACGTTTTCTATTACATTTCAGTGCTTTAATGTACACTATATGCTTCCCATAATCCACTATCCGAGCTTTATTCATCAAGCCTATTACTGTTACATATACTGGACAAAATAAGTTAGGGATATTGGTATTTTTATGGTTGATATTTTATCAGTGTGTCAAAAATATTAAATGGTTATTATATGATCTTATATTTGAAACAAAGAGATATTCCCGGTCTGTTGCTTTGAAAAAGCTTTTGACACAGTTTCTAAAGATTTTATCAACTCTGTTTTACTAAAATTTGGTTTTGGGCCACAGATTATACGCTGGATTAATTTATTAACTTATGATACAACATCATGTGTTATTCAGAATGGACATCTCTCTGATTTCTTCCCTAATGAGCGGGATGGCAGGCAAGGTGACCTAATATCGCCATATTTATTTCTTTTTGTAGCTGAAATCCTTGGATGTATGATAAGACAAAATGATGATATAAAGGGTATTGAAATCGATGTTCAGGAATATAAATTAGGACAATATGCTGATGATACTGAATTATTTTTAGATGAAAGTTTGTATGCTGCAATTGATACCATTAATACTTTATACAATATGTCAGGGTTAAGGATAAATATCGATAAGCCTAAAGCAATCTGGATAGGCTCAAATGCAGGTAGGAGTGATATGATTTGTGAAGATTTGAATATAGAATGGCAAAGAAAGGAATATGAAGTTTTGGGTATTAAATTCACACCTGATTTGAATGACTTATGGGTCATCAACACAAGAAAAAGACTTGAAGAAATTAATAGATAATTGGCAACATGGAGAAAAAGACATCTCACACTGATTGGCAAAATCACTGTAATTAAAACATTGGCTCTTTCAAAACTGGTTCACATTTTCAATTCTTTACCTAATCCACCTGATGAATTTATTACTTCCCTTGAGAGACTATTTTTCAGATTAATTTGGAACGACAAAAATGATAAAATTAAACGGAGCACTTTGAAAAAGGATTATACAGAAGGGGTTTACGCATGATAGATATTAAAACCTTTGTTAATGCCAGGAAATTATCCACACTCAGACTCTATTTGAGAAAAACAAATATGAATAACCCATGCAATTTTCCATTAAATGATATACTAAAATATGGAGCAAATTTTCAGAATATTATTGAAATTGATCATCCTTTTTGGAAAGATGCTTTATTGGCATGGAAATTATACTGTAATAAGAATACCATAGAAGCAGACAACATTAAAGGAATTTTAGCACAACCTTTATGGCTGAATAATAATTTCAAAAACCCAAATCACTTTATCAGGCATTGGGCTAAAAATGGAATTTTAACAATTAAGGACCTTTGTTATGAAGATGGTTTTATGTCTCTTGAAGATCTGAAGCTCAAATTTGATATTAGAGGTACATATATGGATCTTCGATATGTTTTCTATATCATACCTGAATCATGGAAATTGACCATAAAACACTACAGAAATATACATAACAATGATCTGGATGATAACTTTCTTCATAAAGATTTTATGGATTTGAAAAAAGGTTCAAGATTATTTTATGATAAACTCTTATCTGACAATATTAAACCTCATATTTGCCTAAAATGGGAAAACTTATTTTATGATATTGATTTTGATTGGCGTATGATTTTTAATATTTGCAGAAGGAATGTGAAAGATGTAAAACATATAGACTTTGAATTTAAATTTTTGCACAGAATTATTTATACAAAAAAAGAACTTATGAAAATGAAACTGGTTGACAATGCAGTATGTAGCCTTTGTAATGTTGATAGCGAAACTTTATGTCATGTATATTGGGAATGTGTTGTAACCCAAACCTTCTGGAAGGAACTTGAAAACTGGATAATCCCGAATATACAGAAATTTGAAATAACAAAGACCTTGGCTTGGTTTGGAATTTTAGGTAATAAGCCATTACTAAATCATATAATCTTATCTGCTCAAAAATATATATATACTTGCACTTTGAAGAAAATAATTCCAAAAGTTAATAAAAAAAAATTTAAATTTGAAAGATATTTATATGGTTGAAAATTTCATATCCAGAAGGAACAATAAATCTGATAAATTTTCAGACAAATTGTTTCCTTTATTCTCAATATTTAATTTCTGACGTAATCTTTAATCAAAGGGGAATAATTTTACTGTATGCTATCAGTTGATCTAACATTTTGGTTGAACCCAATGAACTTTGATCATGTATTTATGCATTTATTGCTTTACTTTATATGCTTGTACTCAATTATGGGAACAAATAAAAAGATTTTAAAAAATATATATATATATTATATGGATTATAGTATATGTTCATTTACGATCTAGCCAACGTTCAAGATTCAAAAATAAAGTATTATTTTATATTCTTACACAAGCAGACAGTCGGCTAATTACCAGTTTTAAAGTATTGTTTTCCATCCACTTACTGGCCTTGATGTTTACCGTTTACACTGCTTATACTTGCAATAAAGTTTCGTCTCTTTAACTCATGGTTGTGATGTGTTTTGAACAAATCGGTGCAGTGCATTATTCATGTGTATAGACTCCAGTAAATGCCATGTTGAGATGCCTAAAGTAGAAGTGCCTACTTCACATGGAACAAAGCGGGAAGTCATGCAAGCTTTTGGCACAAACAACAGCATGTGTGTTTTACTGACTAGTCAAGAATCAAGAATCAAGTGGGTTTGTGTAGTAGTTCGTCCCTGTCACCCGTCACATAACCCACTTGTAAGGCTCCCGTTCATTACACATGGTGTTTACTTTATGGTCGTACTAGAAGGTGACGTGTAACGTGACATTGTCACGGTCCGATTAAGTAATGTCAAGTGTCCAAAATCAACGCCCCTTTGTGGGGGTCCTGCAAAAGTTTATAAGTTTATTAAATGACCATAGCCACTCAAATAACTGTGCACCCCAACTTTCTCAAGAGTGAAATCAACGAGCTCGGTTATCATATATCCATTCTAGTTTCTCAAAAGGAAATTCAGTATACTGGATAATTGAGGCTGATCCGATGTAGCGTCACAGTGTCCCCAGAGTCTCTTTTTAGACACACGGCTTTATTGCCGTAAAGCCGCAGTTGTTGGTGTCATGTTTGTAGAAACCACAGCCCTGGAGCTCCAGTAAATACCTTATGTCTAATACCGATCTGTGTTGACGCACCACACGTTTATCTGACCTGTCGCTGTGTTTACCAATCAGGTAGAGGTTGAACCTGGGCGTTGTGTGTAGAACTAATACCGCTTGATATTCATGCAGTTTGCCGGGACATTTTATACCTTCAGTCAACATCAAAGCTTGTCACATTATGTAGAACATAGTCTTGGTTTGTTCAGTGATTACCGACCTGTCAGCCATATTTTACCTATATGAACGCTTTAGGTAAATAATCAAGTCTGGACCAGATAACCAAGTGATTCGCATCATGGACATCTATCCAGGCAGTTACCACACGGTGAAGTGAAAAAAAACAAGGCAGGTAGCCTGATCGCCCGGTCCCGTTAGTCGCCTCTTACAACAAGCTTGGGCATCTTCTTACACCATCACCGAAACACCCTGGTTAGAATTGCTCATGATGTTAATCACTGTATTGCCTGGTCCAGGTTCGATTATTTGGAGCACCTTTACAGCACAACAACTTCTCGTGAGGACGATCTCTGCTGTAGGTCACGTGTCGTTAAGACAAGCAACCAGTTTGTGAGAACCCGTCGGACGCGAACCCGCAACCTTCGGATTGTTAGCTTGACAGCTAACCGACTGAGCTACGTCCACACTGTTGCACTATGTGCAAATTTATCGAGTCATTCCTGTGACGTCACGGAAATGAACAGAAAGAGTCGAATAGGTCACGGACAATTACGAAGGTTACGGGTAGACTTTCTTTTTTTTTTTTCTTTCTTTTTTTTATTCATTCAAAAACAGTAGATACATGTATACAAAGCACATGATGCAACAACACTTGTACACCGTAGGAGAGAAATTCATATGGGTTGGCATTACACATATTGGGATCTTCATTAGGCTGGGAATGTGTGCAGTAGAGATGACCATTTTCTGTCAAATTGTAATATGTTTTGATTCTTACTTGCAATAAACTTTTCTGTCTTGAAGATATCACTCAATATTTTTACGGGTAGACTTGGTGTCTCGTGATTTTTAAGCTACGGACAATTGCCGAATGGATCCGATGCCATTTGGCACACTCGTCCCATTCCGTAATCTGCAAGATAACGTGTGGCGTGGAATGAGCCGATATGCCTCAAACTGAAAAGGGTTGTTGACGTCAGACGTCAGACGTGGATTTCACGGTGCATGCATGACTGACGCGCTTTTATATAAATCGGTGATTTTGTGACAGAAAGGTGATGTAGGGAACACTGTAAGGATAATGTGGATCGCACTAAGGAACGAGGGAGACATGAGCATGTGTAGTGACGGCACGACGGTGAGTTAGCCTTCGAATCATTACTGAACAAAATTTATGTTGCGTGTGAAAGAGGCTTGAGTGCAAATTCCAGGCTCAATTTCCATTAGCCCAAAATTTCTATATTAAACCATTTCATTGTGTACTTTCGACGTTTTTGGTTTCACGGTTTTGTGTGAAAAAAAGAGTATGAAAATGCGAAAAGGAAAAACAACAAATGGTACTCACGTATTACACACCGGGCAAACTATTTTGGATTAGGCCCCTAACCCTAACCCCTAACCCCTAAACCCTAAACCCTCAGCCCTAACCCTAACCCTTTGAAATAATCCTAATAAATAGAATGCATTGACCGAACCGGTTGTATTAAATTTAAAATGCAAAAGGAAAAAAAACAAATGGTACTCACGTATTACACACACCGGACACGTACCTACTATATTGAATTGGGACCCTAAACCTAAACCCTAAACCCTAAGCCCTAAGCCTAACCCTAACGTACCTATCCCCTTGAAATAATTCTAATAAATGCATTGACCGAACAGGCACAAACATGACTGACGTGTCCAGTGTAATGCATTATAACCGCTTCGAAAAATAAAATACCAATAAAAAAACTTTTCTTTGTAATGGTGCAAATTACTGAATGAAAAAAATATATATGTATGTCAGTTCACATTGGCAAATAATTTAAACTTAATAGTTACTTTGAAACCGAAATAGAAAATATATTTACATAATTTAAATAATTACATTGACCAAAATTGCGAATAATCGAATATATATAATATGGACCGGTGTAACGCATTCTCGCTAAATCTACAAAAATACAAAATACAATAATACACAAAACATAACACCTCAGCACCCCATAATACAAATAAATATGAGCGTATTAGTGAAAAAGCAAAAGATTTCAAACTGGTGCTTGCAAAAAATTGCGCATCCGCCGGTATACAACTACTGGAAACTCTCAACATCGTTGGGCTTATGCAATGACATAGCTAGTAGAGATGAAACACCAGTGAGCGGAGCTTATACGCAGTCGCTGAGCTAGACAACCGTGTTGCCATGCAAGCGTCATAAGGCATTGTTTCGAGAACGTGCTTTCGAACAAGATCACATTAAATTACGTAAAAGGGTATTATTACGTATTTTTAGAGTTTGTGGTGTTGTATTCTAAAGGTAGGCCAGAGAAGCACCTTTAGAATACAGCACCACACCTTCTCGTGAGGACGATCTCTGCCGTAGGTCACGTGTCATTAAGACAAGCAACCAGTTTTTGAGAACCCGTCGGACGCGAACCCGCGACCTTCGGATTGTTAGCTCGCCAGATAACCGACTGAGCTACGTCCACACTGTTGCACAATGAGCAAATTTATCGAGTCATTCCTGTGACGTGTTATGGTGCTGTATTCTAAATGTAGGCCAGAGACATTAACACTACGGTGTGGGCATACACATTCACGGTGATGTGCGTACGTGACTGTATGAAGGCTACTGGTTATCAATACACCACTGACAGCATAATGGGAGCACATTGTTGAGTACTCCACAGGTAGCTGTGTAAATGGTTATATATAGGTTGTGATAAAACGCGTAAACAACAAAGCTTTGTCAATGTAATGCACTCTAGGCATGGCGTACTTGAAAGGTATTAAGAAGTTGCACGAACATGAATGCATGACACGTCTCTATCACACAATGCTTGCTCCTTTATGAGGTGAACGCGATCGGTTGGTCAGGCTTCCATGGAACGTCGTGACAAAGAATTAATAAGTTAATTTTAGAAAATGTGTCATGTGTTTTCGCTACGTATGTTGTCTATATCGTTCTATATATCACATTACCCGAGAAGATCCGGACTAGAACTGATCTTCAGCAACCCATGCTTGTCGTAAGAGGCGACTAACGGGATCGGATGGTCAGGCTCGCTGACTTGGTTGAAACATGTCATCGTATCTTAAATGCGTAGATCGATGCTCATGTTCTTGATCACTGGTCCAGACTCCCGAATATATACAGACCGCCGCTATATAGCTGGAATATTTGCTGAGTGCAACCCATTCCTCACACGGATACACTATGTGAAGAACATTTGTGGTGTGCCCTCCCTCCCCGTGATATTGCTGGAGTAAAAGCGTCGTAAAACCATATTCACTCACCTACTCACAATGATATAATTTCATTAGGGACAAGGTTTTCAAGTACGTTGATGTCCAGTATCACTGAATTGCAAGTGAAAATTATATTCCCCTTTAAACAGCATGAGTTTAAACACATTTTATTTGAAGAAATTATGGACACCCTACAAACAGTTTTTTTCTTGAGTACACAAACATTTCCTTGTGAATATGTTAAGGTGGTTGATATTCATTGGAATGACGAAAACTGTGTTTGTTTTGTGAGTACGTCATGAGCTCTAAGTTTTGAAGCGGGTTCTAAGATTTTCGCTGACAGTTTGTGTATGTCGTGTCCGTGGCAACCGCCATTGGGAATGTCACAATACAGCCTACAGGTGAAGTCATCCCAAGGGATTAGACACACTTCTACTACAGGCCTCTCTAGGAACGACCGTTCGCAATTCAAGTGATCATGTCTCCGGGTTTGTTATATCTCTTGTTGCTGACATTCAAGTATTATATAAGAGTTAATTAACTCGCCAAGTTTTGGATAGAACCATTAAAGAGCCATATGCATTAAAAGTACGTGTTTATATCCTCCGTTTGTTCTTTACAGTGCGTGCACTTATTGAATGCTTGAACCTGCGTGCGTTTACAATAAACAAATATACGTCTGTTTATACATTGGTAGAGGGTGACCTTAGACACACACCCTCATTCGGCCGTTCTTTTCTGAATACATTCTGTACCGAATGGTTGCAGATGAATGTCACAACTACATGATCTAAGGAACGTATAACTGTTTGGCGACTGAAACATTAAGTCCAAGTCTTGGAGTCCGGCCGTGGAAGGTTTCGGGGAACCTGGTTGAGTTGGTATGCATTTCACTTGGTTTTTTTCATTACTTAGTTGTACAAGACATACCACCAAATTTTGTCTTTAAATGCAAATTCTCAAATTTGAAAAATATCCTGAAAAGCAAAACTCCTCAGTTCAGCTCTTGTCTGATGTTTGTTACAAACGGGAAAAGGGTATTGTCAGCGAGTCTCATTGGAATTAACCAATCTAAGTAAATTACTAAAGAGTTATTTTCACATGTGAACCTGACCGTCATTTCCAGAACAATCCATAAACCTGCCTGGACAATTCAAAACTCAAGAAAACATTTTGCTCCTTACTGTTTGTGTAAAGAACTTTCACATTTGAACCTTTGTAGATTTTAGAATGAACGCCGGTTCAAATAATGAGGCATCTGAAACAACACTGAAGAATTATGAAAATCTTGTATTAGATTTCCGTGATCACACCCATTACGTGGTCACCAGTCGTGATATTAGTCTGATAACACTAGATGCCGTATACAGCGTCACTCACTCACTTACTTGATAGTGACGGAATGCTATTTGATGACGTCATAATGATCTGCAAGGCATTGTGATGCGTTTTGTTATAGCGATTTCTTGAAAGAGACATCACTTGATCTTGCTCATACTTCAGTTTCGGTTAATAAAATAACATATTCTATTACAGCAAAAATGGCTTCTCCTCGAGATTCATCACGTGATGATACTGCCCTCCATGATGCCTGCAGGCTGGGAAAATTCGACAAGGTGAGACAACTCCTGTTTGAGGGTCGAGTTGACATCAACAGCAGGAACCGCGGGAGGACACCTGTACTGAAGGCAGCCTACAAGGGCCACAGAGACGTGCTGGACCTCCTGGTCAGTAAAGGATGTGACGTGTCACTGCCAGATGACGACGGTAACAACATCCTTCACGTGGCCTGTATGGGTGGGCATGTGTAGATAGTGAAGCATGTCATTAAGAAGGACTTCGTGAGCATCAACAGTAGAGGACATTGCGGGAGAGCACCATTGATGGTTGCAGCAAAGAATGGGCATAAAGAGGTCTTTGATCTCCTTCTGAGTAAAGGATGCGATGTGTCACTAGTGGATGGTGACGGCAACAACATCCTTCATCTGGCTTGTATTAGGCAGCATATGACGATAGTGAAGGATATCCTCTCACACGACATCATCGACGTCAATAATAGAGAACAGAGTGGACGGACGCCGCTGATGTTGGCGGCAACGAAGGGACATCACGAGGTGTTTGATTTGCTTGTCAACAAAGGAGCCGTTATGGCACTAGTGGATGACGACGGTAACAACATACTTCACCTTGCCTGTTTTGGAAGAAACGTGAAGATTGTGAACTTCGTTGTCTCTAAGAACATAGTGGACGTGAACAGCAGGGGAGAGCACGGGAGGACGCCCCTGATGTTGGCGGCAATGAGGGGACACAGAGATGTCCTTGACCTTCTTGTGAGTGTAGGTGGCACTGTGGGGCTATTGGATCACCATGGTAACAACATCCTCCATTTGGCCTGTATCGGGGGACTGTTAGAGATGGTCAAGCATGTCCTTTCACATTACATTGCGGACATCAAAAGTATGGGACAGAACGGGATGACCCCAGCCATGTTAGCTACGTGTTTCGATCATGAAGACGTGTACCACTTACTCGTGAACAGAGGAGCGAGAAAATCTGTTTCAGATGACATTTACACAACTAGAGATGTTAAGTGTTGACCCTCAATCGACTTCCACCATCACAACAGTATTTGACATTCTGCTGTGCTGTCCATTTTCTCTGAACATTGACAAGAAAGTTTGGCTTATATTGTGATGTGTGCAGATGTATGTGGTTCACTTACGGACATTATTCTGGCACAAGACAGAAATGTATTGAGGGCGTATACCGATGTGTGTGGTACATTATACCAACATAGGACAGTGGCGTGTATTGATGGCTTATACTGAAGTGTGTGGAACATTATACCAACATAGGACAGTGGCGTGTATTGAGGGCGTATACTGAAGTGTGTGGTACATTATACCAACATAGGACAGTGGCCTGTCTTGGGGGCGTATACCGATGTGTGTGGTACATTATACCAACATAGGACAGAACAGTGGCATGTATTGAGGACGTATACTGAAGTGTGTGGTACATTATACCAACATAGGACAGTGGCGTGTATTGAGGGCGTATACTGAAGTGTGTGGTACATTATACCAACATAGGACAGTGGCCTGTCTTGGGGGCGTATACCTATGTGTGTGGTACATTATACCAACATAGGACAGAACAGTGGCATGTATTGAGGACGTATACTGAAGTGTGTGGTACATTATACCAACATAGGACAGGACAGTGGCATGTATTGAGGACGTATACCGATGTGTGTGGTACATTATACCAACATAGGACAGGACAGTGGCATGTATTGAGGACGTATACTGAAGTGTGTGGTACATTATACCAACATAGGACAGGACAGTGGCGTGTCTTGGGGGCGCATACTGAAGTGTGTGGTACATTATACCAACATAGGACAGAACAGTGGCGTGTATTGAGGGCGTATACTGAAGTGTGTGGTACATTATACCAACTCAGGACAGAACAGTGGCGTGTGTTGAGGGCGTATACTGAAGTGTGTGGTACATTATACCAACACAGGACAGAACAGTGACGTGTGTTGAGGGCGTATGCTGAAGTGTGTGGTACATTATACCAACATAGGACAGAACAGTGGCGTGTGTTGAGGGCGTATTCTAAAGTGTGTGGTACATTATACCAACACAGGACAGAACAGTGACGTGTAATGAGGGCGTATACTGAAGTGTGTGGTACATTATACCAACATAGGACAGTGGCCTGTATTGAGGGCGTATACCGATGTGTGTGGTACATTATACCAACATAGGACAGAACAGTGGCATGTATTGAGGACGTATACCGAAGTGTGTGGTACATTATACCAACATAGGACAGTGGCGTGTATTGAGGGCGATTACTGAAATGTGTGGAACATTATACCAACATAGGACAGTGGCGTGTCTTGGGGGTGTATACTGAAGTGTGTGGTACATTATACCAACATAGAACAAGACAGTGGCGTGTATTGAGGGCGTATACTGAAGTGTGTGGTACATTATACCAACATAGGACAGGACAGTGGCGTGTCTTGGGGGCGCATACTGAAGTGTGTGGTACATTATACCAACATAGGACAGAACAGTGCTGATGGTGGATCCTGATGCAGGTGAGACTAGCGTTCGAAATAATCGCTGGCCCGGAGGCCCGGCGCCGGTTGTTATTGTATCGGGACGGCAGTTTCAAATATTTACACTCCTTTGTGGCCTTCTGTAAATTATCTGTCAATATATTTTTACAAATGGAATCATTCCCCATAATTGTATTCTTTATTAACGTTAGGGAATCATCCATGATCCATCATGTTACGATAACTAACAGTTTCACTTCCTGGTATATCAACGGTTTGCACATAGGAATGTCACCACCAGTCTTTCACAAGTAATAACTTGTTTGCTAATTGATTTTTGTAGAAAGCCTAGTGGTGTGGCGGAACTTTGAAATGACCTTCACCCTTTCATGTTTCGCAATGTAGCGATTTGTACAGGATGTCGATCCACCGGCCAAAAAACAAGCACACGCAGATGCTTCTTTCAGGGATGGGGCGGTGGGGTAGCCTAATGGTTAAAGCGTTCGCTCGTCACGCCGAAGACCGGGGTTCGAATCCCCACATGGGCACAATGTGTGAAGCCCATTTATGGTGTCCCCCGCCGTGATGTTGCTGGAATATTGCTAAAAGCGGCGTGAAACAGTCAGTCAGTCAGTCAGTCAGTCAGTCAGTCAGTCAGTCTAACCATTTTGAAACTGTGTACAGTGTAGTCTATTTTGTTTTTGTACGTTTTACCTTTAACAAAAAGGGTCTGTAGACTTTAAAGCCGTGAGACCAATGGTAGCAGGGGAAGAGTGTTGTAGTGTTGACAACCCAGTAACCATAATCAGGGTGGGTATGGGATTCGAACCAATACGTGTATATCCAAATGAACTGTACTGACACTGTCACCAGATATACTGTATGGGGTGAATTTACTGCAGCTGAACTATGGTTCCTGGTGCATAAAAGAAAAGTCTTCATCAGTTCACGTTTGTCGTATGGAGCGTGACGGGATCAGATGATCAGCTTCAAGGTTCCTGGTGGTACGTAAGTCCCAAAACATTCAAAGTAAATTGAACTTTCCACTCTGTTAATCGTAGAATGTGTGTATTTTTAATGTGTGGATGTGTCTAAACTGAGGGATGGTGTTAATCCAGCTGGGGTCCATGCAGGAAGCAAATGTACTGTAAGTCCCAATGGTCCCGGATATGGTTATCTACCTTTAGTTGTTGGCGACTCTATAGCCGGTTTGTATATTGTGTTGTCATTTATAGTTAAAGTATTTTAGATTTAATTACTAGTCTTAAATGTATTCTTTTGATAATCTAGTCATTTCTACTGTCCTTTGTCGACAGGTGTTTTATAATGCAATTGTGTTTATTGTTACTTTATAACTTTTTACGTCACAACATGGCTGAAATATTGCCGATGTGACTATCTATCCTGGTTGATTGTATATCAATGAGGTCAGTTACGAAAGATTAAGTAATCATGTATCACGTGTTGTTTGTAATGATCAAATATATCAGCAGTGTCACATGCAACAAGGTACAGATAAGGTCACATGTTTAAAGTATGTGCACACATGTCATATGACTGAGAATATTTCACGTCTGAATTGGTTACGCCTTGATGTTTAAACTAGGATGATGTGGAATGATGAGCTCCCCTGCAGGAGGTGAAGGTTAGTGACGTTTAACATAGAATGTCGTAAACACATGTGAGTGAGTGAGTTAAAAGTTAACGTCAGATTGGCAAGTTTTCAGCCATATCGTGAGGAGAAGAAATTGGATGTTTATAAACAATATGTATGTATTATAACACCTATCGTCAAAGGACAGTAAAACAACTAGACTATTGAAGTTAGAATTAAAACTAGCATGTAAAGTTAAAACTAATAGCATTATTTGGACAATACACAATATACTGGACAAAATAAGTTAGGGATATTGGTATTTTTATGATTGATATTTTACCAGTGTGTCAATGAATAAATAGATCATTATTCATAATTTCAAAATTTACGTATATCCCAAACTATTTTTGTCCAATATATAAAGACAGAGTATAGATCGCCAACAACTGAAGGGAGATCACCATAGGTCCATATAGCTCGATGGGGATTTACAGTACTTTTACTACCCGCATGGACCCTAGCTGGATCTACACCATCCCTACAGCCGCTGGCGATTGTACGGAGGTTTAGCCATTATTAAAAGCAACAAACATACTACGATTAAAAGTTTGGTAGAGCAAAATTGACTTTGAAGTTGTGGGACTGACGTACCCTCTGAGGAGGACAATAAGTTTATGATACTTCAACCCCCTTCAAAACGTTTATCAAGCAATTCTATTTCTTTTAAAAACTCGATAATACAATGATGATTAACATTATCAAAAATATCCTTAACAGTTTTAACGCTGACATATTTATCCCTTGTGATGGGAAAATCTATGCAGTCAAGCAGGGCATGCTTGGCCGTGATTCTTTCATCACAAGGGATACAAAACGGAGGATCCTCACCTTTTAACAGGTATTCATGAGTATATATAGTGTGGCCAATACGACATCGTCGCATAATGACCTATGACATCTTCAAATCTGGACTGACAACCCAAGTAGGTGTAACCGATAACTGGTTTTATTGCATCCAATTTATTGATACCTACTTGGGTGTCCCACCTCTTTTGCATTAGATCACGGATATAAGATCTAACGACAGCTTTGAAATCGGAATATGGGATCAGTAGTGGTGTTACAGATTTGTTGAGTGCTGCCTTAGCAGCAAGATCAGCCATTGTGTTACCAGAAATGCCAACATAGAGGACGATGTTGCACTGACCAGTAGCCAGATCGTTGAATAATTCTAGTATTTCAATTAAAAGTGTATGTTGAGAAGACACATTTTAACAGCATGAAGGCATGAAAGAGAGTCTGAATATATTATGTATTGTTTATATTTAGGGTGTCATAGTATTTTAGATTTAATAACTAGTCTTAAATGTATTCTTTTGATAATCTAGTCATTTTCTACTGTCCTTTGTCGACAGGTGTTTTATAATGTAATTGTGTTTATTGTTACTTTATAACTTTTTACGTCACAACATGGCTGAAATATTGCCGATGTGACTATCTATCCTGGTTGATTGTATATCAATGAGGTCAGTTACGAAAGATTAAGTAATGTATGTATTATAACATCTATCGTCAAGGGACAGTAAAACAACTAGACTATTGGAGTTAGAATTAAAACTAGCATGTAAAGTTAAAACTAATAGCATTATTTGGACAATACACAATATACTGGAGAAAATAATAGAGCTGTTATTGTTCTGGATCCAATGACAGTGGCACAAGCCTCTCTGCCGCGATCCTTGGACCCATCTGTAAATAAGGACTTGTATGTATTGTATTTACTTTTTAATTCATTAAATTCTTGTTTATATTGTAATTCATTAGTTTCAGATTTTTTTTAATGTTGTGAGTGATAGGTCAACTTCTGGTCTCACTAACTGCAAAGGAGGAGAAGAAAGTATGCGCAAAAGAGAAATATCATCCAACTCAATGCCAGCATGAAAGGTTTAATTCTTATTCCTAGTGGCGGAATAAGAGCAGACTTCTTGCTATACAGGTCCTCATGAAGAGGATTAAAAACACAGTTAATTGCAGGGTTAGACTGTTTAGAATATAGTTTTGTGATATATTGTAAGGATAATTTTGTGCGGCGTTGTTTTAGAGATGGCTCATCAGCCTCTACATAAATACTTTCAATAGAAGTTCGAAAAGATCCAAACAAGTCTGACACCTTGGTGGTGAACAGAATCCAATGATTTAGGATTACTTTTGCAGGCTCCACCATAAATGATGGAGCCATAGTCGAGTTTAGAACGGACAAGTGATCTATATAAGTGAAGGCGGGTTAACTGGTCCCCTCCCCACTTGGAGTTTGAAACAACCTTTAATAAATCAAGTGCCTTCAGACATTTAGCCCTCAGAGATTTAATATGTGGTAAGAAAGTAAGATGTTGGTCAAATATATTTCCCAGAACTTTAGCTTCCTTTACATTTTTAATTGGAGTGCCTGCTAGATGCAATTCTGGGTCTTAGGTGTACTTGTAGGTTGGCATAATGTCTCAAATAAAGACCAATTTGCCTTTGTAAAATTATATCTTGATGAAGTTGGAGTATCAGCTGGATGAACGAGTGAAAGTAAACTTTGTAAATGGTCACATCCACAAAGGTCGTGATGGACTGACCATTCGAATTCGTTGAGCAGTCTTGAATCTGTTACTGACAAATCATGTGAGGAATATGTGCCTCTAGTAGGGTGTAAATATGTATAGGAATCATTAGAAATACATAAATCATTATTGGTAATATATTCCTCTATGACCTTGCCTTTAGAATTTGAGTACCACCCCAGAGCGGGTTGTGGCCATTCAGATCACCCATGATGACACATGGTTTTGGTAATTGATGATACAATGACTGAAAATCAGATTGCTTAAGAACGAAAGAAGACGGAACATACAAAGAACACAATGTAAACACCATATTTAATGCAACTGCCTGAAGATTGCTGCTCAGTTTGACAGGGCTGTGGATCACTCCCTCCCTCACCAAGATAGAAGAACCTCCAGTGGCCCTATCACCAGGAGGAGAAAAGCAATGATATGAGTTGTACTGACGTATGGTAATTTTGTCTGTCTGCTTCAAATATGTTTCCTGCAGACAGAAAGCTGTTGGGTTATAGTCTTGGACCAGTAATTGTAAATCATTAAAAGTTATTTATAATTCTCTACAATTCCATTGAATCAATGACTGAGAACTATTCATCTCTTTGGCGGGTTGACTGGAGATCTGGCTCGCCAATGTTTTTTAGGCGATAAACTTGTTGTCCTGTGAGGGATGTTTTCTGAAACATCCATCCATTCCAGTGATCCAAACTTGTTATGAAGTTTCATAGGATCATTTGATCCTTTTGATACCATGTCAGCCTGTTTGTTGCGAGACGATAAGTCAGTTTTATGCCTTGCTAAGTCATTCCTTTCTTTCCTAGATTGTGATTTTGTTGAGGAGTCATTTTGTGATCCTGATCTTTGAGGTGGTGTCACAGAAGTAGTTTGTGAAGAATCAGAAATCTGTTCAGCTGGGAAGGGATCAGCAGTCTGAGTAAAGGAATCAGATGGACAGTGGGGTTCAGGATTAATAGAATTTATCCATGTCAAATCTGTTTGACACTGAACAGTTGCTGAGGAAACTGTTGGAGTTTTGGTAACAGAAGTATACGTTTCAGTCTGGTCTGTAGTGGATACCAGTTTCTTTGCTTCAGTGAATGAAATATGTTTTGTACACTTTATCTTACATATTTCCATTTGTTTCCATACTGAGCAGGCTTTACTCGATGATGAGTGCGCTCCAGAACAATTCTGACACTCTTAAACATCACTGTTACAATCCTCTGGGAAGTTTCGCTACAGTGTGCAAAAGTGATTTTGTTTTTGCAGAAATTAGACCCATGACCAAACTTCTGACATTTAAAGAGTATTAATGGGTTAGGGATGTATATTTCAACATGCATGTTGCAATACCCTGCTTTAACTGATTTTAGTGCTGTTGGAGATGAAAAGGAAAATAACGTTTGAACGTTTCATTGCCTTGTCGCCTAGTAAATCTTTTCACAAAGGTAACCTCTTGATCATGTATTTCTGAAACTATATCCAACTCTGACATGTCATCAAAGAGTCGATCACGATCTCTTATGATGCCTTTGCTGGTGTTCAAGGATCTGTGAGGAGATACTGACACAGAAATTCAAACAAATTCCTGTACTGACATTAGGTTGTGGCTTGCTGTCACCTTGCACATTCAATAAGTATTGATCCAGACCTCAGACGTTTGATAGTTTTAACATCCATAAATACATAAAGCAACCGCAAAAGGGTTCAATTTGATTGGTGTCTCATCAGGTGTTTTCATCACCAAGAATCGTGGCCAATACTCCACTGGTTTTGTTCTATGACTCACATCATCGTCTGCATAATCAACTTCTAGTGTACGTTTTGATTTTTGAGAAGGGTTTGAAAAGCCATGGTTGTATGATTGAGTTTCATCATCCCTCCTCTTGAAACTAGAGACTCCAAGTCTGCGGTTTTCAAAGTACACTAGAGCACCATGCCTCGTTGACGGGTCGATGTGTTTGCTTCATTTAAACCCAGTTCAACAGAATTCCTTCAGAATGTTGGAGAATTCCACTTGATTCAAGGCAGTCCAACACTACCACCTGCAGTATGTTTATATACTTAACAAACTATCATAATTGTGTTTGATTTTCCGAGTGAAGTTTTACGAGGGTAAAGTAACAGTAGTACTGTTGCAGGAACAGCCTCAAGCGCAGGAAGCATAAATAATCATATAAAGACGTACATTGATTTCCGTTGTTTTTGCAGTCTGAACACTTTTAGTCACTGGGAGATGTTTGGAAGTGTTATTGTAATAAAAAAGACGGACATATTTTGCAAACATTTTGTAAAACAATTGAGCAATTACTACATATCCCGATTAATTCCATGACGAACTTATATTTAGTAGTGGTAAAACTTCCGGTCTATGTTAAGTCTATGGGAGTTTTGTCATCCTCGAAGTTGAGAAGGGATGGCGCTTCCGGCGTCATGACTTAGCACCTATCGGACACGACTTGTCCAGCCTCATTATAATTCCACGTAGGCGTAGGGCCAACATCACGGGATCAATTTGGACCAATCACCGTATCTATATAACATAATATTTATTTCCTCCAGTGTGAAGAGTACAAGGGCATCATGATATAGGGCATATGCACAGTCAGTACCAGATCTCGGCGTTCATGGAACAGTTCTCATATTTATGTGACACCAACAGATCTCTGTGCACTGATAAAAGCTAGTCACACAGGATAACATGCGCAGTGTGAAATCCCAATCATTAAATTTGTGGAGATTCACGGTGAATTCCACATTACCAATACCTATAATCTCACACCACAGTTCATCGCGGAGACCAGTCAAGTAATCACAGTACTGGAGAATATGGGTAATAATATCTGTGTAAAACAGACCACACCTATGTTCAAGTCACTATCACCCTGGTTCTCCTTAATCACAGTTCTGGAGAATATGGGTAAGAATATCTGTGTAAAACAGACCACACCTGTGGCACAAGTCACTATCACCCTGGTTCTCCTTAATCGAGGTACTGGAGAATATGGGTAAGAATATCTGTGTAAAACAGACCACACCTGTGGCACAAGTCACTATCACCCTGGTTCTCCTTAATCGAGGTACTGGAGAATATGGATAAGAATATCTGTGTAAAACAGACCACAGGCACAAGTCACTATCACCCTGGTTCTCAGGTTTACAAAGTTAGCTGCCGCTCTACAGGCTGGTTTCTTCTCCGCAGTCACCCAGGCATGGTGCACACACAGGTTCGGGTGGATCTGGTAAAACTCATGTGGGCCTGAATCCACTAATCTCTGTCTCCACGCAATCTGCTGTCCTGTTTGTACATAAGACTCTAGGTGCTGATGCAAACCGTATTTATGAAGAATTCTCACAATATCAGGAATGAAACCCGAAGACTCCTCAAGCTCATGCTCATTAAATCAAGTCATGCGATTGGGCAGATGACTCGATCGATTTCTGTGTGCCGTCATTATATCAAATCATACGATACCAAATGAACCAATCAACGAATAGTAAATATCAAATTCAATGATTTGATTAGTGATAATCAAGGGGGTATAACCTGTGTGACTAAATATAACTCTATTTAAATTTGAAATTCAAATGTAATCGTGCTAACAAAATCATAGAACTTCCTACCTGGAGGTTGACACGTCATCGGTTCCCAATTGCGCAGATCGACGCTCATGCTGCTGATCACTGGATTGTCTGGTCCAGACTCGATTATTTACAGGCCGCCGCCATATAGCTTGAATATTGCTAAGTGGAGCGTAAAACTAAACACACTCACTCACCCCTTGAGAGTCCATGAATATGAAAAACCCATTGTAACTTCCGATGTACATTAAGCTTATATCATGATAATAACCTCATGCTTTTGTGATTAAATTGATTAATTTATCACCAATTAAGCATAACATTAAATATAAGCGTTTATCAAAGAGATTTCCAAAACATAAGGCAAAAAAAATCCGGCACCCCCCCAAAAAAAGTGTTATCATGGTATTCCCCAGCAAAGTTTCATGCTATAGTCCGGCGTGTAACGATCAACTTCAAAATCAGACCTAAGCCACTGCATTATATGATGAATGTGCGGATATCACGAAGAGACAGATGTTAAGGTAACAGAACTGGGCCTCGGTGTACAAAGCTATCGTAGCGCTACGACTGTCCTAAGTCTATGTTACAGTATAGGATATCCGTGAAGGTCCTGGTTAGCATGAACCTTCAGTAACCCATGCTTGTCGTAAGAGGCGACTAACGGGATCGGGTCGTCAGACTCGATGGCTTGGTTGACACATGTCATCGGTTCCCAAATGCGCAGATCGGTGCTCATGCTGTTGATCACTGGATTGTCTGGTCCAGACTCGATTATTTACAGACCGCCGCCATATAGCTGGAATATTGCTGAGTGCAGCGTAAAACTAAACTCACTCACTCGCTCACTACAGTATAAGAGTTACGACCACCTTAGAGCTACGATAGCTTTGTGAAACGGAGCCCTACACCTTATGTTGCCAATGATCTTATGATACCATTGGCAAGGTGACCCGACGTAAAGCCAAATTTGAAGATGCAACTGTTTCAGTTACACTTTTTTGTATTACAGATGAGTGTTCCAGATGTACTCAAGTACGGAACAGATACACAGAGAAGGAGAACCGTGAACCAGTCAACAAACTTTTACCAGTTCACACCGAATATAAGATTCTAACGGAGGGTGGCAAGAGAAGACAAGGAGAAGAAGCAAAGAAAACAGGAAAGAAGACATTTGCGGATCAAGTCGCCAAAGCAGCGTCAGCATTACGTAACAGTGGTGGAGGAGTGTTGCTAGTCCACGTACAAGGGACGTCCCAGGAAGACCGGTGTCTGGAGTACTTTGACGAGGCCGTCAGAAAGGAGTTGACAGGGTTACTTGAAAACGGTGAACTCTATACTGACGTCTATGAACGTAAATGTTTGTGTCAGATTGAAACATTTGAAGATATCACGGACTTTGTTCAGATAAACGTTGGGAAAGTTGAGAGTGTATGTACTGTTGATTTCAACACAAAAGCAAGTAATGACAGTGAGAATCTTAGCATCAACTCATCAAACATACAGGTGTTGCTGAGAAAAACAGAAACTCAAGCACGTATCCTCCCTACTGCAGAACTACCAGATAACGTCCAGGACCTTCACGAGAACCGACATATACAGCTGAAAACATTCAAGACCACGAAGGAAGTCACAAGCATTAAGGGAGATGCTAAACAGTTGACTGACTACATATGGAACAAATTGAAGCTCAAGGACAACATTACATCTATGTCCAAGGTTGTTGGTGGGGGGTCATACTTCTTGGGTGTTAGCGAATCAAGACTAACAACGAAAGAAGGATATACAACTAAGCAACCGGAATACACTGGTTTTAAGTTGGACATATCACAAGAGTCTCTGAGAGAACACATTTACAAGAAGCTGAAAACTGACATCTGTGTCTTGGATCTTGACAGAAAGTTTATAGAAGGACCAAGGAACTTGATCGATATTACATTCCACACCGTCCCCAGGCTGGATGCTGGCTTAGTTGTATTGGAAGTTGCCATTCGTTATTGTCGGGGAGTTGTGTTCTACGACAAGGAAGGACCCAGAACATATCATGTCACAGATAGCGGTGCGACAAACACGAAAAATGTTCGTCGAATGAATCGTTCTGAATGGCTTCGAAGATTACAGATCATGCACTCTCATTTTCATACTTAAACTGTTGGGAAGTAGCTGTTCAATCTATGACAGTCTAAACTAATAACTCAAGTAGAACAGCATTTGACATTTGTGTATAGTTATATAAGCAACCATGTCCGACAGTGACGCTGGAACATCAACTGGCTCTACACCTTATGAGTCGGAGGATGACATGATTTGCTACATCACCGGATCCACACAGTCACCATCCGAGCATCCTGACCAGGAACCAGGTATTTGGCGATATGTGTTAACACTGTAATTTCATGTGAGTTTGTATTGAGGATTTAGTTACTACTCCAAAACCGATAATAATCTGCTTCATCTTAAAGTTCTTGTGAACGAATTTTATAAGTATCACCATTGTTCAAGTCATAAAAACCTAACGACACACAATTATAAGCAATTTCAATCTGGTTTTTTTCGGCAAGAATAGTTTGAAACTTGAAGTTTAGTATAAGAAGGTTAACACTGTTTATATTGATTTGGATCGACTGTTTGCCCGAACCAGAAAAATAAAAGAATAAAAGAATTGCTAGTTTTACAAACAGATTTCACTTGGTGGAAAGAGCAAACTAACCGTGAAAAGTATATATATTGTAACAAAAAAGTCGTGTCTAAACTGCTTCTGCCAGTTTTCTTTTGGTGAAGTCCTATTTCCACATTGTCCCATTCAATGTTGTGATTATGACAGTTGATTATGTGTTCAGAGATAGCTGATTTACGGTCTAACTTCTTGGTTGATGCTAGGTGATAATTTAATTCTGAGTTTTATGGGGCTTGAGGTTTCACCAACATAGGCCTAACCACAGTCACAGCTGATCTTGTAAACAACTTCTTTGGGTGTTTGTTGTTTGGAGGTGTTCCTGCAATTGGCTTGGAGTAGAGTTTTCATTCGATGCCGGCTTGTTATCAAACAACTTCTAAAATGCCAATCAAACAGATCGCGTTGAATCTTCTTTTCAAGAGTCAGATCCCTTCTTTGTCTCTTTAGTGGTGGAGTTTCCATTTTGCATCGGTAATGGTCTACAGTGTGGCAAGCTATTTATTGCTGACACCACTGACTCATTGGTAAATGATCTCACAAAATTAATTGAACCCTTTTCTCAGCCCATTCAAGAAAATTAAGTCGGAATTTTTAATGTGCAGATGTCGGATAATTCAATGTTTAAATGATGCTAACATAGAAGAATGCTGCCGGGACCCAAAAATATGTCGGAATTCACAGATTGTCAGATTATTGAGATGTCGGATTATACAGAGTCCACTGCATTTGGTTTCTTTCAAAAGCAATCAAATCAATCGAATCAAATCGTGGATATGATCAATTCTGGCGTTGTTACATATTATTCTTGGATTGGGATTGGGATCAATTTCCTATTTGAATGCTTATAATGATGCATACTACTATATGAATAACAACTCATATGTTGATGTTATCATCTACATCTACACGTCGCTCTATGTAATACTCAAGAAGTTGTTATCCATTAAGTCGTATTCTTCATTTTGGACTCACCAACTTGTGGAATGTTACATTCATAAAACAGACAACTTGTCAAGCATAGACAGTACACACTTTACATAATGTTCACTTGTACATTACAGATGCCAGGCGACTCAATGAAAGAAGTTTGCCTTCCCGACAGGTAGATATCGTCCTTATTGGTATACCTAACATACCCGTGAAGATTCGGGTTGCAATGGGTCTTAAGCAACAAATGCTTGTCGTGAGGGGCGGGCTCGGGTGGTCAGGCTCTCTGACTTGGTTGATGCGCGTATATCGATGCTCATGATGTCAATCACCGAATTGCATGGTCCGAATTCGATTATTTACAGTCCGCCGCCATATATAATATCATGCAAGCAGTAGCTTTAGTGCAACTAGCATCGTATTCATAGCATGTTGTGGGACCTTCCATGTTCCGGGAAGTGAACTAGTGAAGGTCCGGGCTAGAATTGGTCCTCAACAACCCATACTTATCGACTTGACTAACGGGATCGGGTGGTCAGACTCAATGACTTAATTGACACATGTCATTGAATCCCAGTTGTGTTTGATCGCTGGATTGTCTGGTCCACACTCCATTATTTACAGACCGCCGCCAAATAGCTAGAATATGTCTGTTAAACATCCAACCAACCAAATCCATGAAACAACTTGCTCTTCGTATCTATTTCAAGATGCAGACAGAAACGACGCCATTGGCTGGGGCATCAGTAGCTGCTGCTGACGGTGTCCTGGGTCCTGACACAAATAACCATTTGAACAAGACAAGCGTTTCTAACAGCGATGTGCCGTCACTTGTACCTGCTGATGGCAGTGCGGAAAGTCCATACATGAGAACTCCTGACAGAACAGTTATCAACCGGCTATCTGTGCCTTCTGACGATGATGCCTTAGGTATTAACCCCAGCATTCTGCGACGTCTGACAAAAAATGTTTTTGGCAAAAAGGCAAAGTACCAGGTGTCTGAAGCTCCAGCCGACAGTGGCCAAATTAGTGACACAAGCAAAGTTCTGCGCTTGGCAAGTATTTTCGACAGCACAGTAACGGATCAGACATCCATAGCTTCTACTACCAAGAAAAGTAATTTGGGCAGAACTGAATCTGTAGCTTCTGCGGACAGTGGCATAGGCCTTCGAAAGATATCGAAGTGAGATGAGTGATAAGGTTTATACAACCACTGCCAGATGAAACAAAATTTGGGGCAGAGAAGCTTAGACGAGGCATCTATAGTTTCTGGCAACAGTGGCGTGGGTACTGACACAATCAAACTCCATATCTTGAAGGTGGCACAATTGTGCTCTCTGTGAGCTACCTGTTATCCATTTCCTGTTGATGTTAACGTGCTGCTTATTTCCACTTCTCGTGTATTTGTACCTGTTACTCCAACTTGATGAATGAAACACTGCTGTATGGCTACGGGGTGGGATAAGTCATGTTACTATATATATATGAACCTTCTAGCGCCTAACGGGAAGCTTTGGTTATCCGGGGTAATAATATCGGTGTGGGGTGGCCTTATTATCAATATTATCAATGTTTATTGATTGGGAGACCATTTACACTGTTAAATGCGTCTACAAAGAAATTTTCTCCTTTTTTATCCCATATCTGGCTGAACTTAATACTGATTTGAGGAATTCTATATCAAAACCAGACGCCGCTATCAAAAATGTAGAAATTGAAAATGAAAACGTTAAAAATTGAAACTGTTACCTGAGTGAGTGAGTAAATATTGCTTAATACCCCATCAGCAATGTTGCAGCTATTTGTGGCAACTACAGGTACCTAGGCACTATCGTTAACTATAATTCCGGATGCGCACGCACAGCGACAAGACGTACTCGTAAAGAGCTCTGGCCAGGCGCGCTAATGTTTTTTTTTAATCCAAATAATCTATGAAGAATTCTCAAGTTAATATACCATAGGACAACATATTTGAAGACTACGGATACAATCCAACCATTGAGTACAGCGATACAAGTAAATATCCCACAAAAACAGTGCAAAAGTGAGTAGATATTAACATTGCCATGCCTCCGAAAACGCGTGCAGACGAGGTGGAGGAAATTGTTGTTAAATCCGAAGAAATAGTCTCCAAATTTATTGTAGAACTCCGTGCTGACCTAGTTAACTCTACAAAAGACATTAAAGGTGAAATACAGAAAGTGACTACGAGAGTTAACGATATCGAAAATGCAGTGTCCATTCAGCAGGACGAAGTGAACGACTTGCGCCAACAGGTCTCACAATTAAAGCAAGCACTTTCGGAGCAAGCGGAATTGTTTGAGAATAGACTCGTGCTTAAAGAAATCCACGATAGAAAATCTAACCTGTTGATATATGGTCTAAAATCTGAACCACAGGGGAACTCTGAGAGAGTCATCAGAAACTTTCTGGTTAATATGCTTAACTTTTCCGAGCAAAGGGTGGATAACATTTACTTCAAAGCGGTTCATCGCCTACCACGCAAGCCGTTTGAGAACGACTCAACTCCAAATACACCCCCTCCTATCATTTCATCATTTCTGTACATCCCCGACAGAGATTATGTCCTCGACGCGGGAAAAACATTGAAAGGTAAAGGGGTATCTGTCCGTACGGATTTGCCCCCCAAACTGAAGAAACAGCGAGCAATCCTGTACAGAGAAAGCTGTTACACTCGCGTGAGACTGGTGGGTGTATCCCACGTGCTGGAGACTCGGGACCCTCGAGAATCACAATCATCCTGGGTTGCCTATCCAGTGAACCTCGACAAGCATTGGACAAAAGGATAAATGTACCTACCTTACGTGATGACCATACAAGTTTTTCATCATTCAGATGCTGTAGAGATTTTATATCCAAAAGAAAAGTATGTCTTCTGTTGTCCCACTATCCAGGACGTGAAATCGTATGGAGGTGCTGTCAGTGATACCTTCGGATCAACAGATTCCAGGGCAATCCGTGTGCATACTCTTACATGCTGGAATTCACCACGAACAGGTAATGCAAAATGTGGGCTCTTGTTGAAACGTTAAAAAAAACTCACATCACTACAGCTTTGTTAGGATCGTAAATTAATGTTGCAGAGTCACTCCGAACTTTCATGTAGATCCTGTGTACCAGACCTTTTTCACGGGACTCTCCAGTAACTGCTCATATTAATCCATGTGCATTATCCGGTGACAACACTTAGATCGTAACTCATGTTGCAGAGTCACTCCGAACTTTCATGTAGATCCTGTGTACCAGACCTTTTTCACGGGACTCTCCAGTAACTGCTCATATTTATCCATGTGCATTATCCGGTGACAACACTTAGGATCGTAACTCATGTTGCAGAGTCACTCCGAACTTTCATGTAAATCCTGTGTACCAGAACTTTTTCACGGGACTCTCCAGTAACTGCTCATATTTATCCATGTGCATTATCCGGTGAAAACACTTAGTCTATTCTGTATTCCCTGTGACTGGTCATTCTAACAGGGAGAAGTGACATTTGTCAGAACACCCATATGTTGCGATAGTTAATTAACACTAATCTGAACATTCTGCATCTGTTGGGGTCCGCCTGCAGAGTCTGTTGCTCGACGTTTGGGCAGGTGCGTTTTTAAGTTATTTTGTGGTTAGTTCGTTGAATAGAATAGATCCTAACATTGAACGTATTAAGACAATTTATGGCATGACGCAACCATTGTTCAGTTAGCATGTCGCTGAAATCTATCAAACAGATGAACGAAGCCTATTCAAGATTCATTTATAATTACGATAATATTGATATTATTTCCTTTCGTCAAAATGTGGCTGATGTTAATTGGGATTTTCTTACACAAAATGATGATGTTGATGCCATTGCTTCAAAATTTGTTAATACATTAACAGACTTATGTAAATCAAATATTCCAAATAAAACTGTTGTGATTCGTCCAAATTATGCTCCGTGGATGAACGGATTTATAAGAAAACTTATGCGTAAGAAAAATAGAATTCATAGAAAGACTACACGTAGTAACTTGCCTAATGATTGGGATAAATTTAGAAAAAGTCGAAATAAGCTTATCTCAGAGATACGTAAAAGTAAGTCATTGTATGTTGAAAAGCTTGATAATGTTGTCAATACCTAACATGGTAGTAAATCTTGGTGGCGGATTGTTAAACATTATCTTAAGAAAACAGATAAAGCTAAGGTATTTCCACACATTGAACACAATGGTGTTGTTTATGAAGATGATATTGAGAAAGCAAATGTTTTTAATGACTACTTCGTGAGTATGGCAGCGGTTAACAGTTCTTCTGATGATGTTAATGTATATTCTGATATTAACGTGGAAAATTGTTTGATATTTCTTTGTCCTCTTCTCAATTTCCAGATATATGGAAATGTTCATCCGTTGTTCCAATTTATAAGAAAAATAATGTTCATGATTATACTAATTATCGACCGGTTTCACTTACTAGTTGTCTTTCAAAAGTATTTGAGAAAGGTGTTTTTAAATATGTGTTTCTAGATAATGGAACTATTACTTCATTACAGTCAGGTTTCACGACTGGTGATTCTACATCATACCAGCTCACTCATTTGTATGACTATATAGCTAAGGCGATGGATAGTGGCAAGGAGGTACGCGCTGTATTCTACGATATAAGTAAAGCGTTTGATAGGGTTTGGCACAAGGGTCTTTTGCATAAGTTATGGGCTAGTGGAATTCGCGGATCTCTTTTATTATGGTTTGAAAGTTATCTAAATAATAGAAAACAGTTTACAGTAATAAATGGGTATAAGTCAAATGTTAAATCAATTGAAGCTGGCGTGCCTCAGGGATCAGTCCTAGGACCTTCACTCTTTTTGGTTTATATCAATGATATTGTTGAAGATATACAGAGTAATATTAAATTATTTGCCGATGATAAATCCTTATATGTGATAATTGATGACCCTATGGTATCTTCCAATATGTTAAACGATGATTTAGAAATAATAGCTAAATGGGCCCAGACATGGAAAGTAAACTTTAATCCCAATAAAACTGAGTCAGTCCTATGATCAATTGTTTAAGAAGTCAGAAATACCGCCTTCAGAGGAAAACCCTCCAAACCCTGTATAGTTCATTTGTTTTACCACTTTTTGACTTTTGTGATTATATTTGGAATAACTGTACACAAACTCAAGAGTTATTGTTAGAAAAACTTCACTTAGATGCTTTAAGAACCATATGTGGATCAGTTAGAGGAGTTTGTCATTCCAAAATCTACCATGAAACTGTTTTTTCATCATTAAGGGAACGTCGAAAAAATCACCAAATGTATGTATTTCATAAAATGTTCTATAATAAAACTCCAAAGTATTTATCAGATCTAATTCCAATAAACATATCCTTTGTATCCACATATGGATCTAGATCTAGTAATATGCTTCAAGTACCATTATGTCGTACGGAAACATATAAAAAATCTTTATTACCATCCTCTGTGATGGAGTGGAACAAGTTAGATAATGATATAAGAAACATAGATTCCGTTGCCATGTTCAAGAAACACTTTGATCGAACTGTCTCATCCAACGTACATCATGTCTTCAGAAACACTGGTAATAGATTTAATCAAATAATTCATTGTAAGTTAAGACTCGACTGTAGTGACTTTAACGCACATAAATTTGACCGTTTTCTTCAAAATACGACTACTTGCACTTGTGGCCATCATTATGAAGATGCCATTCATTTTCTATTTATCTGTCCAAATTTTAATACAATTCGATCAAAGTGTTTCTGTTACATAAATGGTTTTGATATTCAATATGTACTCTGTGGAAGTTACTCATATTCTGACGAAATCAATGAAAATATTGTAAAATCTGTACATGACTATTTTACCTTAACAAAACGATTTTTACCTAATTGATTAATTATACTACTGTCTTTTTCATTAAGTCTTTTACTCCTCAAATGGTGTGTTCTCTTGTCTGTAATGATGAATGTATATAAAATGTTTCACATCGCATTGTATTCGGAGAGGTATTTTTATAGGCTTATAGCCTGTTTACCAATCCGTTCATTTAATAATGAATAAATATTATTTATATCAAAAGCGGCGTAAAACCAAACTCAGTCACTAAGTCAGTTGTCGTGATGTTTACCGTTTACACTTCTTATACTTGCATTAAAGTTTCGTCTCTTTAACTCATTGTTGTGATCTGTGTTGAACGAATTCGGTCCAGTGCATTATTCATGTGTATAGACTCCAGCGAATGTCATGTCATGATGCCTTAAGTAGAAGTGCCAGCTACATATGGTAACGATTCGGGATGTCATGCAAGCTTTTGGCACAAACAGCAACATGTGTGTGGTGATGACTAGTCAACAACCAAGTGGGTTTGTGTAGTAGTTCGTCCCTGTCACCCGTCACATAACTCTCTAGTAAGACTCCCGTTCATTATACAAGGTGTTTACTTCATGATCGTACTGGAAGGTGACGTGTAACGTGACATTGTCACGGTCCGATTAAGTAGCAGTCACGTATCCCAGACAAACGCGGTACTAACAGCCAGGTATAGAGACAACACACAACGTTGCCAATGCCAACCGGTGTATGTTGAACACATGCTTGTTATATAATGGAAAGTAAGTCACGACTGAGAAGAGCATGTATACTACTCACACTTTGCTAAGGATCACAAAAATTCACAACTTTACTTAAACGTAGATTCATAATTTGAAATTGTATCCATTTAAAACTGTATAAACAATAATATGGTAAACCCTCTTCAGGCAAACAGCCACTGAATCTAACCTTATGCACTTGATGCATGAGTAGCCATAAAAATGGTTTTCATGGCACCAATCAACCATTTTGCAAATCATGGAACGAGTCACTGACAAGTACACCTGGCAATATCAGGCATGGGATCTGAACTGAAACCTAGGATACATACTAACAGTAAGCGTAGATATTTAAATCCAATTTGACCCACATCATAGTTTTCTGTTGAATCCATGATTTGATCCTTAGCAAAGTATGAATAGTATATTTATTCAAATTACTCAGAACCCCTGTGTTTAATCGTACTCATCACTCAGCTTATATTACCGCTTGTCAGACTAGCTCAACTTAGGTGAGAGACGTTAACGTTACCAAGAAGGCGGGGATATATGCATACGTGACTCAATGAACGCTATCGATTTATCAATACACCACTGACAGCATAATGGGAGCACATTGTTGAGTGTTCTACAGCTAGCTGTGTAAACGGTTATATATAGGTTGTGACAGAGCATGTGCAACATAAGCTGTACAGCAACGCTTTGCCAGTGTTATATACCCTCGACATGACGGGGGCGGTGGGGTAGCCCAGTGGTTAAAGCGTTCACTCGTCACGCTGAAGACACCGGTTGATTACCCACATGGGTACAATGTGTGAAGCCCATTTCTGGTGTTCCACCGCCGTGATGTTGCTGGAATATTGCTAAAAGCCGCGTAAAACTAAACTCACTCACTCACTGGACATGACGTTCTTGAAAAGCACTTAGAAGTTTGACAATCATGAATACATGACACGTTTTCGTAGAAAACAATTTCTTATTTCTTATTAGAAATAAAATTCTCCTTCATGAGGTGAACGGGGTCGGTGGTCAGCTTGCTTGAAACGTCGTGATAAAGAATAAAAAAAAGTATATTTTTTAAAATGTGTCATGCGTTTTCTCTATGTATGTTGTCCTTATCGTTCTGTGTATTACATTACCCGTGAAGGTCCGGTTAGAACTGATCTTCATGCTTGAATTTTAATTTAGGTTGGTTTTCATGACAATGTGTCATGTATGTTGTCTATGCATGTTGTCTACATCTTTCTGTATGTGACATATTACATTACTCATGAAGATCCGGGTTAGAATTGACCTTAAGTAACCATGCTTGTCGTAAGAGCCGACTAACGGGATCGGGTGATCAGGATCGCTTACTTGGCTGACACAACCCAATTGCGTAGATCGATGTTAAGGCTGTTCATCTCTGGATTGTCTGGTCCAGACTCGATTATTTACAGACCGCTGTTATATAGCTGGAATATTGCTGAGTGCGGCGTAAAAAAACACCCAAACCAAAACATATTACATATTAGGGGCGAGTTTCGTAATTATGTATGGGCGGTGGGGTAGCCTAGTGGTTGAAGCATTTGCTCGTCACACCGAAAGCCCGGGTTCCATTCCGCACACAGGTACTCTATATGGAGAACATTTGTGATGTCCCCCCGTCGTGATATTGCTGGAGTAAAAGCGGCTTAAAACCATATTCACTCACCCACTCATAATGATATGAAGAAATAAGGGAAAATGTTTTCACATACATTAAACAGCCCGAGTTTAAAAGCATTTTATTTACGGACACGCTACACAAAGATTAGATTATTATCATTTTTATTGAGTGCACAAACATGTTCTTGCAAAGATGGTCAATATTCACTGGAATAATGAAAAGACGGTAGGCTACGTCATGAGCTGTAAGTCTTGAAGCGGGACCTGGGGCTTTTGCTAACGGATTGTGTTTGTCGTCTCCATGGCAACCACCACTGGGAATGTCACAATACAACCTACAGGTGAAGCCATCCCAAGGGATTAGACACACTTCCACTGCACTGCCTCTCCGGAAAGTACAGTTAGCAATTCAATTGATCATGTCTCCGGGTTTGTTGTCTCTTGTAGCTGACATTCAAGTATTATATATGAGTTAATTAACTCGCCAAGTTTTGGATAGAACCATTAAAGAGCCATGTGCATTAAAAGTACGTGTATATATCCTGCGTTTGTTCTGTACAGTGCGTGCACTTATTGAATGCGTGAACCTGCGTGCGTTTACAATAAACAAATATACGTCTGTTCATACACTGGTAGAGGGTGACCTTAAACACACACGCTCACTCGGCCGTTCTTTTCTGAATACATTCTGCACCGAATGGTTGCAGATGAATGTCAGAACTACATGATCTAAAGGAACGTATAACTGTTTGGCGACTGAAACATTAAGTCCAAGTCTTGGAGTTCGGTCGTGGAAGGTTTTGGGATCCTGGTTGAGTTGGTATGTATTTCACTTGTTTTTGCATTACTTAGTTGTACAAGACATAACGTGGGTCAGGCGGCTAGAAGAGGTATCATCCTCCCAGTCTTGGCGGTGAAAGTGTTTAGTGTTGGAGTGTTGCCTGCAATAGTGTAGGTCATATCATGCTGACAGAGCTTCGGCCCATCAAACAGAATGGCACCAGCACCTTCGTAACGACATCATAAAGGCATTGCTATGGTAATACAATATATTGACACGTTCCCTCCACTTAAGAGAACACAGTACTGTTCAGTATAACACAGACATTCATTTAAGTGGTTGTCTATGTCGGTGAGAAACATAAATTAATTTATTAAAATTAACTACATGTGAAAGAAGGCCAAATTTTGTCTTTAAATGCAAATTCTCAAATTTGAAATATATCATGAAAAGCAAAAGTCCTCAGTTCAGTGCTTGTCTGATGTTTGTTACAAACGGGAAAATGATATTGTGAGCGAGTCTGATTGGAATTAACACTTCAAAGTAAATTACTAAAGAGTTATTTTCACATATGAACCTGACCGTCATTTCCTGAACAATCCATAAACCTGCCTGGACAATTCAAAACTCAAGAAAACCTTCTGGTCCTTACTGGTTGTGTAAAGAAATTTCACATTTGAACCTTTGTAGATTTTAGAATGAACGCCGGTTCAAATAACGAGGCATCTGAAACAACACTGGAGAATTATTAAAATCTTATATAAGATTTCTGTGATCACACCGCAGACAAAAGTTCGGTTCCCATTACGTGGTCACCAGTCGTGATATTGATCTGATAACACTAGATGCCGTATACAGCGTCACTCACTCACTTACTTGATAGTGACGTCATGCTATTTGATGACGTCATAATGATCTGCAATGCATTGTTATGCGTTTTGTTGTAGCGATTTCTCGAAGGAGACATCACTTGATCTTGCTCAGACATCAGTTTCGGAAATAAAATAACATATTCTATTACAGCAAACATGGCTTCTCCTCGAGATGCATCACGTGATGACACTGCCCTCCATGATGCCTGCAGGCTGGGAAAATTCGACAAGGTGAGACAACTCCTGTTTGAGGGTCGAGTTGACATCAACAGCAGGCACCGCGGGAGGACACCAGTTCTGAAGGCAGCCTACAAGGGCCACAGAGACGTGCTGGACCTCCTGGTCAGTAAAGGATGTGACGTGTCACTGCCAGATGACGACGGTAACAACATCCTTCACGTGGCCTGTATAGGTGGGCATGTGAAGATAGTGAAGCATGTCATTAAGAAGGACTTTGTGAGCATCAACAGTAGAGGACATTGCGGGAGAACACCATTGATGGTTGCAGCAAAGACTGGGCATAAAGAGGTCTTTGATCTCCTTCTGAGTAAAGGATGCGCTGTGTCACTAGTGGATGGTGACGGCAACAACATCCTTCATCTGGCTTGTATTGGGCAGCATATGACGATAGTGAAGGATATCCTCTCACACGACATCATCGACGTCAACAGTAGAGAACAGAGTGGACGGACGCCGCTGATGTTGGCGGCAACAAAGGGACATCACGAGGTGTTTGATTTGCTTGTCAACAAAGGAGCCGTTATGGCACTAGTGGATGACGACGGAAACAACATACTTCACCTTGCCTGTTTTGGAAGAAACGTGAAGATTGTGAACTTCATTGTCTCTGAGAACATAGTGGACGTGAACAGCAGGGGAGAGCACGGGAGGACGCCCCTGATGTTGGCGGCAATGAGGGGACACAGAGATGTCCTTGACCTTCTTGTGAGTGTAGGTGGCACTGTGGGGCTATTGGATCACCATGGTAACAACATCCTCCATTTGGCCTGTATCGGGGGCCTGTTAGAGATGGTCAAGCATGTCCTTTCACATTACATTGCGGACATCAAAAGTATGGGACAGAACGGGATGACCCCAGCCATGTTAGCTACGTGTTTCGATCATGAAGACGTGTACCACTTACTCGTGAACAGAGGAGCGAGAAAATCTGTTTCAGAAGATGACATTTACACAACTAGAGATGTGAAGTGTTGATCCTCGATCGACTTCCACCATAACAACAGTATTTGACATTCTGCTGTGCTCTCCATGTGTTGATAATTGTAGTTTTGGTTGTATGTTTAAACTGTTTTCAATACCATTGCAGCAAATCGTGAAAGTGCTTGAACGTTCAAAAGACACTTACGTTTGATGAATTAAGAAGATTCTGTATTCAGTGTGAAACGAGACCAGGGCTAGCAAATTCCTTCACAAATTGCGTTCTGCAGGATACATATTTCCTGTGGTTATTTTGTATCCGTTTCACAGTTTGGAATATGTTTTTTATAACATTTGAATTTGATATGTAGTGTTACAAATCAACATGTAGAAGGAAGCGTGGATTTCAGTGTGAAATTTCATTGGAATATGTGTACCTAAGGATCATTACATGAAAGGCTGTGAAATCTGAAAGGCAGTGGCGTGATTTAAACAGGAGTAGTTACCTCGCTTGGTTATTAGCAAACATGACAGAATTGATCGTTCTCGAGGTTTCGGGATGGGACTGTTTCCAGAAGACTGGCTGCACCGATTCACGTTCGTTCGATGTAACATTCATCTTCCTTTCTTATCAAGTGACAACGTACCCGGAGAATTCCTGCCGGCTTCCAACACTATTCTGGATTCAGGAACTCGCATGTTTCTGTTTCAAATCATACGGCAGTGTAATGCTTGACATTCAAGATTGCACAGAGACATTTTGTAGGGCATGTTTCTCATTACTGCTGCCACACCCACTTAATAGCTTTATACGAATATAGACATAAACCTGTGTGTTACATTGAAGTGTATTCTTAATACTTGATCTTGTGTGGTTGTTTATTTTTATATTACTCAAACTTTGATAAGGATCACAAAAATTCACAACTTTACTTAAACGTAGATTTATTATTTGAAATTGTATCCATTTAAAACTGGACACATAATAACATGGGATGGCAACCTTTGTCTAGGCTGACAGCCACTTTATTCTAACCTTATGCACTTGATACAAGAGTAACCATACAAATGGTTTTCATGGCACCAATCAATTTTTTCGCAAATCATGGAACGAGCCATTGATAAATAAGCAACACCTGCCAAAATCAGGTATGGGATCCACGAGATGCGATGACATGCTGAAACCTAGGAACCATCCTTACAATAAGCTCAGATATTTAAACCAAATTTGACCCCACATCATAGTTTACTGTTTAATCCATGATTTAATCCTTTCTATAACACCTCGTGACCCGTGGAGTCCGGGTAAGAATGAACCTTCAGTAACCCATGCTTGTCGTAAGAGGCGACTGACTGACTGACTGACTGAGTTTGGTTTTACGCCGCTTTTAGGAATATTCCAGCAACATCACGGCGGGGGACACCAGAAATGGGATTCACACATTGTACCCATGTGGGGATTCGAACCCGGGTCTTCGGCGTGAGGAGCCAACGCTTTAACCATTAGGCTACCCCACCGCCCCCCGTAAGATGCGACAAACCAGATCAGGCTCGCTGGCTTGGTTGACACATGTCATCGGTTCCCAATTGCGTAGATCGATGATCATGATGTTGATCACTGGATTGTCTGCTCCAGACTCGATTATTTACAGACCACCACCATAAAGCTGCAACATTGATGGGTGCGGCGTAAAACTAAACTCACTCACTCACCACCTCACTCACTAACTCCAGATTCACGGAACTGTCGCTCAAAATGAAGGATGCAGGGATAGACATAACTTCCAGTATTCCTTCAACAAAATAATATTTTGTCTTTTGGGGGAACGGATGACTCATGGGCCTGGTGCGCCTCACTTTACTGTGCAGAGTAGCGTTCTTTGGAGAGGCCAGAAGCCTGTGATCGTAGTTTGAACCACGTCTCCAGGTTTGTCCCCGCCATGTCCGCGCTGTTTCACCACATTGGGACACGTCTGAAGACTGCAGCACCTCGGGTTTTCCTCCCATGTCAAGCTGACTCGCCCAGATAGAACAGAGTTTGTGAAAATAGTAGGCGTCCATAATGTCCGGATAGCATTTCTTTTGTTAGATTAAAGCCTGACCATAAATTACTGTCTTCAAGTTTTGTCCCAACACTATTCTTCTCATCGAATCTGTGTTTTCATCGTGATGGGCGTCAAACACAGACACATGGAGATACTGACAGAGGGACAGGCAGGCAGGCAGGCAGGCACTCTGGTTGTTTACTTAGCAAAAACATCTAAGCATTGCCATGGCAACAAACGTTCTAGGATCTGTGCTTTACTAAGAAAGTGTAATCCCAAATATAACATATGTTACATCTGACCACTTTCTAAATGGCATTGTGTAGTGACTTAATGTTGTGGTTCCACCAAAGGCCGTTGTCAGTCAGGACGTGTTAAGGCTTTTCACACACTTTTTAGACATAGTTTGCCGTAGTTTATTCTACAAATCACTCCCGATGCTTGCAGACATGACAAATTCATATTCGGAATTCAATTTCCATGAATATCAACAAAACTCCGGTTTCGATTTCTTTCTACCTTTATGTCTCTTTCCTTTAGCGGAGTGTGTATTGATAAAACAAGAAAAGCGTCTGTAAAATCCTCCTCTAACGAAAACAAGATCCGCTAGTGAACACAATCCAGTGGTGTCCACCGTCAGTGCTTCTCCATATTGGTCCTACAGCTACGTCCAGTCGTCAGACAGGTCGGTCCCCATGTAATGGAAGGAGGTCAAGGTACACACACACGCACGCACGCACTCACGCACTTTTCGACGATGTATTGATATGGAATGTGTTCAACTACAAACACAAACAAGTCCACATGATATCTGATTTTTGGCAGCTGGCAGGTCCGTACAGCAGTGACTGGTGTATGTGATCATGGTGCTAGTGATTATACCTACAATGCTACCACCTGGGCTGTTTTCTATCAAAAGGTTCAACCTAAAGAATACAGGGCCTATATTTTCGAAGTTCCCTTAGTGCTAATATTGTCGTAAGTTAATGTTAATGTATGGCACTTACTACTAACTTCGAAAGAGAGCTTCGAAAGCTAGGCCCAGATCTGAGATCCGCCGGATGCAGCCGGTCACGTGCAGAAGACACCCAGGTCGCGTGCTTTCATCGACACACATCGCTTCGGGTGGACTCAATACAGGGAGTAATTATTGTTTATCGCTGCAGCTGCCATATTCCTGTCACGGGCCCCTGAAAATAACCAGGACCACACAAACCAGTGACTGAACGCACGACACCCTGTATACCCTCTGTAGCAAAACGTTTGGGGTGTTTGGGAACCGATTCTGGAGGTCTTATAGATTGTTGTTGTTTTTTCTGCTCTCAGATATGTGACCGTGTAATGACTATGTCCATGTATTTTTATTTTGCTTGTTGTTTAACGCCGCATGCAGCAATATTCCAGCTATATGACAGTGGTCTGTAAATAATCGAACCTGGACCAGACAATTCAGTGATTGATATCACGAGCATCGGTCTGCACACATTATGATACAGCGTCATGCATCAGCCAAGTCAGCGAGCCTGACCACCCGATCTCCTTAGTCGCCTCTTACTACAAGCAACTGCTGCTGAAGACCATCTAACCGGATCTTCAGAGGTCGTAGTGGTTATGGATAAGATGGATGAACGGGAAACGTATGCCATTAATAGCGACGTTTAGATACAGATCGGAACATTGTGGTCAAGCAAGTCTGTTCATGGTTGGCTACGTCTCCAAGAATTTCTTCGAGGGGCATTTAGAAGCTGCAGTACTGAGTCAGGAATAATACACGTATGATCGAATTCATTATTAACATAATTATTGATACTGCAGCGTACCTACATCGCAAATACCCTCACAGCGTACCTACACCGCAAATACCCTCACAGCGTACCTACACCGCAAATACCCTCCATAGCAATAAAAAAGTCGTTCAGCAATCAGCCAATAAAACAGAACAGATCAATATATCTTATCCTTACTTCGAACTGAAATTTTGAAGTCTGGAGCAAACAATCCAGTGATAGATATCAAGAGCAACGATCTGCACAGGCAGCATACGATGACTTCAACCAAGGTATCGAGCCAATCCCGTCACCCTTACAACAAGCATTGAGCCGAGCTCTAAAGGGGGGGGGGTCTTCAGTTGGGCATCCAGATTTAGGAATATACAAAACAAACAGAGAATATATGGAAACATTTTACTTATTTTACAGTACAAAAATTAACAACAGAATGTAAAAATATGGTGAATAAATTCTGCATAATGGAAAGTCGTGATGTGATATAAACACAAACTCCCGCCATATAAAGTAGAACTACGGTGCCGGGTATGGTGTTTGGTGGTTTGGTAAAGTATCCTTGAAATCAGATATTTAATATTAGAGTTCTGAAGACCTCCGTGTCTTTCCGATCCTTATATTGCGGTGGACGATGTTGATTGGATGGTTCAATTCGTGGCATATACACATATATCACAGATACCGGGGGATCTCACGCCGGTACATGTAGACAGTAGAGGAGACAGAGAAGGATGGGAACCACACTTCCGGTGATATAACTATAATATATAAAAATGGGAAACATGCTTGTTTCGTTGATTATTGTTTAACTCCACATTAAGAAAACCAACATGTATGACGGACGTATGAAGACAACCGAGTCTGGACCAGTGGGTGACATCATGAGCATCGATATCCAGCTGCAGGATACGACAACATACATCATGAGGTCGATCAGGAAATTTAAAAACTACATCAGTTTCATATGTCCACATATAATAGAGATCATTCATTGGCGGATTCAGAGGGGGGATTCAGGGGGTTCGAACCAAACCCATCCGCCCACCCCACCCCCAACCCCTTTTGAAAATGACTGAAAGCCACCTTGAAGACTTTGTTTGCGTTGGCGGAGCCACTAAGGGGTTCAGGGGTTCGAACCCCTTGACACCCCCACCCCACCCCCACCCCACCCACCCCACACACACACACCCTTTCAAATTCCTGGATTCGCCCATGGCATTAGTGGAAC